AGCAAATTTTTTTAGAAGGGCCAAGGTCTCCCTGAATGTCACCACCGCAAGTCAGGTGCAGTGTGGAGCAAACCCCATCAAAATTTACTCTTTTCAGGAGGAAGGTCCAAGAAGGAGCCCTTGAACTTCACAGATATGGGCTAGCCATCTTATTTTAAGCTCAGAGTGTTTATGCCTGAGAGAATAGGAAAAAAAAGGATATATTAATGCATCTCCTCCATCCTTGCAGACACGTCCTTTCTCCCAGTTTCCGCTTCAGCCAGTTCCACTGATTATTGATTGCAGCAAACTCTACACAGCCCTCTTCTTTCCTCCAGATGGTCTTTCCATCATCCTTGAGCTTGGGCCATGTCTGTTCCTTGCTGTTTCAGCAGATTCCTTGTTTCAAGGTGTTCTACAGCTCAGTGGAAAAGCCTCCTGGAGGAGCTGGTTGCCACCCACAGATCACTGCCTCTCTAAAGAACACCTCACACAAACTAAAAATTAACAAATAAACTAGATCTTGTCCATTTCATAAACTTTGGTTACTCAAACTGACAGCTCGTTTTCTTGCTTTCTTCTTTGAAGAGCTGTAGTACATCAGTGTTCTGCTTCAAAGATTTAAAATTGTCCACCAATCCAGTTCTGGATGACGCCACATGCTACTCCTGTGATTTGGTCAAGTTGAATAGTTTCTGGACACCAATAACTGCACATGCTCACCAGAGGTTGTAAGAGTTTTACTTCTAAAACTCTTCACTTATTTGATGTGTTTCATGGCTTCCACCATGCCAACCTGCAGTGAAGTTCCTACGTGCAGATCATAACCCTGTAGTTCAACACAGCATCAGATCTGCAGACAGGAGAGTAAAGCACAAACAGCCTCTTCATTTGGCCTAAAAGAAAAATCCACAGTTTTGGGAATCAGGCAGAAAACAGGAAGTCTAGTCCTTCAAAGTGGGGAGCTGGGACAGCCCCCTTGATCCGTGCAAGCCAGCTGACCGCTCCTCTTCTTAGTATAGGATTGCATTTCGCTGTCACTACATCATTTGCACGCTCACGCAGCGTGAAATGTTCTGCAGCCAGAGCAGCTGGCTGGCCCTCACTGATTCCTGCCATGCCAAACCATTTAGACCATGAGTCACTGAAATCCTGCAGTCAGGAAACTCTTTCTTTGTTCACAGCGTGTCAGGTTTTTTGCTCTCCTTTTCAGCTCATCACTCTTCACCGGATATGTTCTCTTGATTTGTGAACTGCTGGTCTCTAGGAATTTCACTGCCACATGGTTATTTGTGGTTTGGATTTTTCCATCTATCTCATATATATATATATATATCAGTCTCCATCCCACTCAAACTCCAAAGATTGACTGAGTTCCTCTTTCAGGGTTTTATCAGCGGCCTCAGGGCAGCATAAGCCACTTTCTGCCAGCCTGCATTCCCATGCAGGGAATACAGGGTCATTAAACCTTTCCAATGGCCTCAGAAAATTTCAGCCTATGGGAATTATGGTACCATCAACCTTGAGTCCAAACAGGAACCTACAAGTTTCCCTTCCAAGTATAACTACTATAAAGGCTAAAGGTTGACATTTTAAGGTCAACCACTGCATATTTTACACAAATTAGGCTCCTGAGCACACTAATACATGCAGTCAGTACGTTTGCTACTTAACAGATCCATTTGGGTTAAATGGGAAAGACTGCAGAGAACAATGATCAATTTCTCCTGACATGAAAAATTTGCTACAGACGAATTAGAAGAAAATACTATAATTAGATACCTACAGGTGTTTTCTCAGCAACAACAAAAACACCACCACAGTTCTCAAAAACTGAATGCAGAAAACAAAAACACTTTTCTGTCACACACTAGTGAGGGAAGCGTTCTTCACTGATGCATAGGAAATTGGACCTATATAGCTGGAAAAAAAATCAGGGTTTTCTCCTCCTTCAGCAAATTGAAGGGACTACTACTGCAGGAATGTGATTGCACATTTCTAGTGACATTTTAACCCGTCATTTCAGTAAACAACCAAATTACTGTGCCATAGCAGCAGGGTTATTGTCTACAACACCCTTCCTCTCTTTGTGCTGAGGTTGTCAATGCAGGGCGAACCACTTGGTGGTGTCCACTGTGCTTTGCTTCCAGCTCTGTGGCTGCAAAGTCAGCAGGTGGAGAGGGCCGGTGGGGCTCTGCAGCCTTCAATAATTAAGTGTGCATTAAGAAACTAGTTTGAACAAATTTTTAACAAAAGGAATCAAGGCCAAAATACCTTCCTCAGTTGCAGTTTAATTTAGCATTGCCTGGTCAAAAATGAGATATTTCATATTCTGAAGAAAAAACTGGAACTGACAAATTCATTACTTGATCAGGCTAATCTAGTAAATTAAGAGGTAATTCTGAAGAAATAATGAAAATTCTCTAGTGGCATATTAATTATGATTTTCTTTTCAGCTATTAAGAAAGAAGGATTATGGATGTGGCCAAGAATAAAAAGAGATATATTTTCAGGGTCAGTGAATTTATCTTTTCAGGCGTCTAACAGAAAAGAATAAACCGATTTCCTTCAATGCAGGTTATTTGAGAAGCCTTGGACAAGATATGTCCTATTTTCACTATATTGTACAATTAAACTCAGTATATTTCAGACTTCAGTATCTGCTCAAATACATGCAAATTCATGGTTTTGATCAAAAATGCTGTAAACTCTCATAACAGACAACTGTCTCAGTACCAGAAGTTTAACTTTCTAGTTGTAATGTCATTTACTAAATTTGTTACCTGTGTATTTTGTTTCTCCTGTCTAGAGATTGTATGAAAGGACAACAATCTGGTGGGTATCCTGAAACATTATGGTATATTTACATGGCAATGGTACTTAAATAACAATACCAAATTCCATGTTACATAAAAGGAAATAAATAATGAATTACCAAAATTTCTGTTCAAGTGATTTCTCTGCCTGGAGGGCAATCTGTCTGCAGTTTAGAATGAGCAGCTGGACATAATCTAGATCCTATCTTCCTTATCAGTCTGTTGCCCAAACAGAAGAATCATGATAAGACTTGGATAGTTCTTTGATGTAATGCTACTAATATTTTCCTTTTTTTTTCACATTTTCAAAGTCCCATTTCCCTGAACATAACTGAATCAAGTAACAGAGGACAAGGTTTTGAACATGTTTCCTGTTCAGAAAAATGGAAGTAAAACCCAAAGCCTGCTTTCCAGGGAAGACTTGGTTATGACTGTGTACTACTGATCTGCAAGCTGCCCACAGGGCTTCTGTTTGCTGCCTGATGTCTGCTGCTCCATTTACTGTCTGGCATGTGCTCACAGCCAGTGCAGAGGCAACAAACCAGCACCAATAGCTGCATTCTTTAGTCCCTTTGCAGAAGCATGTCTTTTACTATTATCGTGGATTCAAGTATCATTCAAAAAGAGGATTTCACTGGCTTTCATTTATCCAGACTAAATGGCATTTCAGGCACGAGCAGAAGCTGTTGCTGACTGTACAGTGCAGAGGAGCCCCAGGGCTGTTGGCGATTTCTGGCAGAGACCAGCAGTGCAAATGCTGGCACGCAATAAGCAGGGGTTTAGCTTTCTACCTCCACCATGACAAGTGGAAAACATGGCCCAGGCAACACAGCTCTGAGGCAGAGCAAGAAGCTACAACCAGGGCAGCATCTAGGCTTAAGTTTTTCAGCAACTGCCTTTTCCCATATTGAAAGTTAAGTGGCAACAAATAATAAAGCTCTATGTCATCTATCATCTGGGAGCAAGTGACTGCAAGATAGAGCCTCTGTATATCTTCCATCTTTGTCCTTGAGAAAGCATTAGAAAAACCTAAAGCATGGAGGTAATTTGGAGACAACACATAATGTCTCCTTTTCACATATTTCCAGTTTTACTGAGTGTATGCAATGTTTAAACACAAATGATTGTGCCCCAACTTCCCCCAAGTTTTTCTTCTTTTATAATCACAATATTTCTTCACATCCTCCCACTCTTTCAGTTTATTCAAAATAAAAATTCTTTGAAAGATCCAGATATAAAGACCAACAGTGTAGAACTTGACCCTGACAGACACAACACACACTTTTGAGGCCTTGCCCCTTACTTTCATGTATTATATAAGTCACCACTTCTGATGAAAGTAATCCTGTCTTCCCACTGCAACAATCAATTTTTTTATACCCTTTTTGCTTGCATGCTGATGTATGGGAGCAATGAATAGAACTAGGTAATTAACACAGGGCAAAGCTTTTTATTCCCCTGGAGCAGTTTCTCTGCTCTATTTTACATATGGACATCCAATATCTGCACCACATGAGAGAAGTGGATTGAAGGAAGGAGAAAGAAATGGATGGCCTGGAGGGACTGTAGGTGTCTGGAAGAGAGCAGAGGAGAAAGGGGTTGACAGTGAAGGTTTGTGAAGGATTACGGTCTTAACAAATCAGTAGCCTTCATTTCAGCATGCCAAAAACTTGTGCTACCAACCAGATGGAAGACAAACTTTTTGGGAAGACTAAGTCCAAAATGGAAAAGTACATGCATATAACCTTGGTGTCAGCTTATAATCCCTGTGTAAAAAAATTAAAATATTCTAGACAGATATCTTCTGACAGACTTTTTAGTTCTGCAGCTATCTCCTGCATCAAGAAGCATTCCATGAACCATCAGTTAAATAGAAACCATTAACCTGTAAATGAGAGTAGGATAAAATACGTGCTTTTATCAACATGGACCATTTGCTTAAGAGTTGGACTTGATGATCCTTGTGGGTCCCTTCCAACTCAGAATATTCTTTGATTCATGATTTCTCTGGGAACTTTTGGCTTGTGTCACAAATAAATAAAATGGCACTTTTCCTGCCTTTCAGCAAAAATAATCACAGAGCCCTGGTGGGATTTCATATTACTTGTAGCTCCTTACTTGTAGCTTTTATACTCCAGCACACTTGCTGATAATGTATGAAGTACAAAATTAAAACTAAATCAGTTGTCAGAACAAATGAAAAAGTACAATGTATTATCCTCTGGCTTTTTATTGTATTTCTCCATTTATCTGTTAATTCCCAAAATCCAGCCATTTACAATGAAACTTCCAGTCATTAGTGGGATTCAGCAGGCTTCCACAGTAAAATAGTATTCACATTTCTCATGAGAATTCATATATATAATGTTGTAGGGCACCAGATACAAAGCCTCTCAGTCCACTACTATATTTAATTTCCATATGCCTATCCAAACTCACCTCCTGTTCTGGGAAATTAACACATGAAGTGAGAATTTTCTGAATAATTACTTCCTTTTTTCATAACCATGCTCATTGAGACTCACTTTGGTGCAGAGGCTTATGTGGAAAAGCTAGGATGTGGCTGCATGACTAGTTTTTCAAGCCTGTGCACACCTCCTCAGGAATGCAGGTGGAACTAACTCCTTGGTGGCTTGCTTGTGATGACTGAATTGAAATATATTGCAGTGATTCTCTGTTCAAGAATCATGAAGTCATTAGAATCTGAGACTAGAGCTGAAGTACTAAGTGATTTTTCCTTTTCTATTCTATTACCTACTTAGAGCAAATACTTTTCAGAAAAGTAAGCAGTAACTTAAAAACTTAGCTCAAAAATTAAGATGATAATATCAGATCTCATTTCTGTTCCTTCACATTTGGAAAAATCCCATTTGGCTTCCCTCCTTATCTTTGCATGAATATATGCCATATAGAAATTACTTAATTAGTACCTTGAAAATTAGAGATTCATCTACGCCATTCAAACCACATAGCAATTCCTAAGTTTCTTACTTTTCAAATGAAATGAAAATTTTTCTAAACTGAAATAATTTACAAATTTGTTTAAAGGCCACTACTTCCTTAGATGGTTTTTTAGTATGCATGAGAAAAGTGCAATTTAATTTCACAATGAAATAATCCTTCAACAATTTCCTTTCAGGCAGAATAAAAAAGCTTATTATTAATTCCTTAAAAAAATTAAAAATAGGTTAACCTTGGACCAGTTAATTTTTTTCCCCCTCAGATAAGACACCGAAGGTCAGCACAAATGGCAAGTGATAAATTTACCTCTTAGAATTATTCCAAAGTCATCCTCCTCCCTGCTTTTTCCCATCACCTCTGTCTGGAAATGCCTCTCCTGAAGTACTTCTTGTTTTAGCATCAGTCAGTCAATTTGATTCCTCTCTTCCTTTAACTATCAATGGCAAAAGTTGTCAAGATCTGATGTTATCTACCTTAAATTCTATCTCCCTATTACAGTGAAGCAATTTCACAAAGACTACACCTAGTTAAGATTAATGATAAACACCAAATTGCCAGAAGTTCATATTTTAAATGTTTATTTGCCTTTTCCTACATGCTTGGATTTTCAGAAGAGGAAAAAAAGTGTGTCATCCTCTTTTGCAAGACACAGCACCAGGAATTCCCTTGAACATTGTATTTATAGCTTACAAATAATCCTTCTTTGAATTTACCAATATCAATCTTTCCAATTCTCAAACTCTCACCGTATGATGGGCACCAGATTCAATAGCTGTGGGCATTCTGTTTGAAAAGAAAACAAATTTATAGGTGCTTTTATTCATATCAGACCCTTCTGGTCTTATTAGCAAGTTTGAAGCATTCCAGGCACCTAATGGAGAAGTGTAGGTCAAAAAAAGAATTGCCTCTGAACAGCAATAGTGGTAGTGGTAATAGAAACAGCAATACTAGCAGCAGCAGTAATAGCCATGGTAGTAATGTCAGCTCTTCCTAAGAGTAACTCGAGACAAGTAAGCTAAGCTTCTTTTTCATCACTGTGGTTTTTTAATCCAGACACCTAAAATTAGATGTGTTTGAATAACCCGTCATTAACTTTAAAATCTGTTAGATACATAGAAACAAATGTATCTTTAGGCTTTCTGATTCCAGAGTCTTCCTACAAATGGACACACATAAGAGGATGTATCAGAAACACCTCAAGAGGCAAGTTTCTCGTGAATGGATCAAGTTGCACCTAAAAATCAGTTGGAGTTTCTTGGTTCTGATGGTTCTACTGGACAAACTCTCAAAAATCTGTCTGACAATTTGTTGGAAACCATCTTTAAAAGGTCAGTCCACAATTATCATGGCCAATCACTTCTTATATGTTTTTTTCTAGCTCTATCATTTGGCATAAACAGTTATTTTCCCCATCCGATATTTACACACGGCTTGACAAAATGTGGAGCACTGTAAGCGGATGTCTAGAAAATGGCACAACTCTATCCTGTGTCCCCTCTGTACTTAGGTACAGAGAATATTTGTGGACATGACTGAGCACTGTGGTTTATCACTCAAGTCAATTACTAAGAAGTATTAGGAAGACATCTCCATTATAGGTGGGTCAATCCACAAATTCTTTATTTCATGGATACTGTGCCCCTTCCTCTGGCCTCTGCTGCAAAAAACTGCAGACAACATGAAGCCTCATTATAGCAACTCAATTCTTACTGAAGCCATTTGGCATGGCCTATCCAAGTATACATGCAGACAATTATAAAATGCATAGGCGTCACTTTTTGAAAGCTGTCATTTCCCAAAGGACCCACTGAGGTAGAGGCGTGCTGCAGAGTTGCTACTAAAAACAATTAATTTGCAGCCATTTCTTAAACACCTAATTTCCCCACTAGCCCTTACGCAACACTACTTCAAATAGCTACACACGGTCTCATTTAGTGAATATATGAGGAAGAGGTCTGCATTATGTTTGCTAAAAGAACTAGGATTTCAATTCCATCTGCCACTGGGTGTGTTTGATTTGTGTATTAATTATGCCTGTTTGTAGCTGTAAATTTGCTCCAGCTTAGTTTGTGATTAGCTCTGCGCATGAATTCACTACACTGTGTGGCTCCCTTGCACTTTTATGGTTTTCAAATGATTCCATACTTACGCTTTTTAAATTGCTTTTAATACCCCTCTTATTCAGTGTGAGCTTTCAACTCCGTCTTATTGAGACCAATTTTTTTCCCTGAAGAGAAAGCATGTCCCTTTGATTCCTCTCTTTGTGGACCCTTTTTGCTGATGTCTTGTCAGCTTTGTCCATGGTGCTACTATAAAACATAGAACGAAACTGCTTCTTTACCCAGTCTTACAGGGAAACTCAGCATATTCACATTTAGCATTTTCTATGTGGAATGAGTTAAACTAATAATGGCCAGTCTTCGCGAGCGAAGATCCGGGGAAGGTCTTTCCACCTTCCAGCCTGCGCATTGGATTTTTTAGGTGAGACACAGTGTGCGCGGAACTGAGCCCACCCTTTAATCCTAAGGTTCATCTGCCGGGGCCAAGCGAGCTTGGACGGTGGCAGCGAGGTCCTTAGGACGTAGGTGGGTTGCCTTTAAGGGCTAACGAGCCCCACCTGCCCGGGAGTGGCCCTGACCAGGAATCGAACCCGGGTCTCCGCGGTGATAGCGCGGCGCCTTTACCACTAGACCAGCAGGGGCTCCAGAGTTAAACTAATGGGTTTAGGAATTACATAAACACTCAGTAGGGTGTATACATACCCATTACTGTACAAACTTTAAATGCTTGTCATGTCAAAATAAAACTCTCCCACATGTGGAACATTTTTGCTCTTGATCACTGAGTTTTCTCCCTCGATTTCAAAATGCCCAAAAGGTCTGAGCTGTCACCTTTGTAGTTAAAACCTGCAAGATGTGCTTGAAAACGTAACTCATCTGAAAGGAGCTGCATAAAAACCACCTTTGTGTCTGTGAATGTTTGTGTACACTTAGAAAATAAATGTTGAAGAGGTCAAGTTGATTTCTCTCATATTTTAGGAAAAGAATCACTCTGAGTTGAAAAATTGTATGCCAAGTTTCTGCCTGAAGCAAATTTTTACAATCAAATTAAAAACCTTTGAGACTAAGAGTTTATAATGGAAATACTAACACAGCCTTAACCATGGCAGCACTAGCAAGCACTGCAATAATATTAGGAAAGCTCTCCCTGCCCACAATCTAAACTAAATAAAAAAGATGCCATTTTCTAACATATACCCCAGGCTAGCAAATAACAATGATTTAATGTACTTGCCCTGTGGTAATATAGTAGCACTGCAAACCTCAGAGCCAATTTTTCTTTTCTTTTCTTTATTTTTTTTCTTTTCAAGCATATATGCCCCATAGGGAAAGGATTGCAATTTAGCTCTTATTTGTGGATATATCGCTTTCATTTCAACAATTCTTGAAAGCCTTCCTTCTGTCACATGCTACTGTGTGCGAGCACCCAACTGAATAAAAACCCACCAGGCTTTTTCAGGAGTTTATTCACAGGTTTGGCTTTCCTTATTGTAGTATGCACCACATTTAAATTAGATGAGGGCTACTGTAACGCAATAACATTGTCAATGACTGGAATCTCACCTTCCCCTCTAACAGTCTGAAGCAAATTAATGTATTGGTTGTTCTTTAACAAGTAAACAGTTTCTGCTACAATGTCAAGGAAAAAGAATGTGTTCATTAATATGAACAATCTTCATCTACAAAGATGATTTACACAATGCATGTAATGAGATAGCTTTCCCCTAACTAGTACACTACCAAACTGAAAAGCTGATTCTTAGGACTTTCTTGAAATTACAATATTGTTTGTTTACCAATAAGAAAGACAGTCTCAGTCACCTATGCCACCATTGTAAGCTCTATAGTAAGTACTTAAAAAAAGAGAGATTTCTGGAATCACTTGTGGAATTAATAAAATTGATAACTACAGACTTACACTGCATCAATGATACATATTATTCCTGTGATAAGTTGAGCTAAAAATAAGATTAATTTGGTTATAGAAATTCCTTAAACAACAACACTTAAATTATTTCAAACTTGAAATTTTTCAAGAATTTTCTGAAAAAATCAGCAAACACTGGCTAAAAAAGCAAAGCAGTTCGGATACACCAATGTAATCAGCATGCCTAGTGCTTTTCTGTTAACCCTCTGAGTAGAACCATAGTATTCTGGATTTTTTGTATAATAATGCTATGAAAATTGTAACTTATAGAAATACTAATTTATACATCATGGCTTAATAAATCATGTTCTAAATATATTTAGGCTAGGCCCATCATCTTGTGAGTGATTAATCCATCCTAGAATTTTAATTATCCATTAGAGAAGCCAGTCTCTAGCATCTATAAGGGAAATTTAGATTATTGCCCTAGATTAGATGCTTAACTCCTAGATGGATGAAATTAGATAAAACAACTCCCAGCTCACCACCTTTCAACTAATCCTGTGCTATCAGTACTATATTTTCACATCAAAATTTGCTTACTGCATGTAAGCTCACTAGAATATTGCACTTAGGTTGAAGTCCATGTTATCCCTGCTTATATTTATTTGAGAGGTATTAAGCTGGAAGTGATCCTGGTCTACTCTCCTGTTAATACTAAGATCAGACTGTCAGGCATCTCCAGAGATGAAACATTAGATGACCTGAATCACCCTTTGGAAGTGTTCCTCTCCATCTCCTTGGTGATAGATGGTGCCTACCACAATTGCCATCCGTCTCTGCTAACTACACAGGCTTGGTGGGAGGAAGCTGGCCTTGTATACATAATAAGTATTTAAAAAAGCAATTGTTGTCACACTTAGCAGCAATACAATGCTTAAAAATTCAAAAGGGAAATGAAGAAAGAAGTCAGAAGGACTGGTGCATATTAGAGTAAAATGACCACAGTGTGCTATGTGCTCTCCCAGATTATCACATTAGAAATAGTGTATTATGTTTGATTTCTTTTTCTCATTGGTGCTTCCAATATTTTTTTGGGCCACATATTCTGTCTTCACTTACCCTCAGGAATTCAGAGGTTAGATTGAAAGAAAGGGCAGTCACTGCCAAACAAGCCTAAGCCACTATTACTTCCATGAAACCATACATACATATACATATATATATGGTTATACTAAAATATATATATGGGTATATGGATATATTTAAACCCATGATTGCAAAGTCCTTTAAAACAGTTCAAATATTCAGATACCTTTTCTTGAAGTCTTAAATAAGCTATCAACATTTTGAAACCCAGTCCCTCACAGACCTAAAAATAACTTTAAAAATATTTTTATAGTTATGTTCATAAAACATGAACTAAAGATCAGAAACATACAAAATGTTGGGTATGAGTGGGATTTTCAGGATCTAGGATTTTTTTTACATACATTTTAAGTAGTACAAGATGGTGTAAGATGAAGGAGCCAAACATCTTATTTTAATGATAATCCTGTATTCCAAAGCAAAGCAAAGGTGATAGGAAAATCCCAGATGGCCTTTTGAATAATATTTCTCCTGCATAAGGTGAAGCATATTTTTTTTCTCCTGACTTCCCTCTCTAATTAAGAAGAATGAACATCATCCCTTGCTTTAAGACTTCCAAATTTTCACAATAGTCAAGGAGCATGTGGTATTAATGGACTCTTTTTTATTACCACATGTATGTCTTGCATTACATGGCTGAATTGTATCTCTTCTAAAGGGAAGGCTGTGATATAATATGGGAAGACCAGAGCTGGAAAAACGTGTGCCAGATCCTGACCTACTGTAAATTAGTGTAGGTAAGTGGCAAGGAAGGCTTTACCTTGTCTGAGGGTTTGATTCTATGGAAAAATAATCCCTGTCCTATCCAAATGTTACCTAATTACAACCATTAACACTACAGTGGCAGTGGTTGTGCCCCATTTACTGAGCATCTTCTCTCTTCAGTGTGACTAGGGTTGGATAGTCATAGTCAAGGATCTGACACAGATGCCAAAACCTAAAATCTTAGGGCATTTGTATGGCAGTTCCTAGGTCCCTTCACCTTCTACCCCAGTGGAATTCTCCAACAAGGTGCTTATTTGCTTCACTTGGGTTAAGATGTTGTTACTCAGGTTCCAGACAGAGTAACTGAGTCCATGCACAGGCCTTCTGCCCTTGGACATACATTCAGAGATCAGTTTCCTGATGACTTAGATGACTTTCCACTAAACTCGTAATCTGAAACTTGGTGTCTGATATAAGCTTCCACCAGCAGTTCCTTCTACAGTCCATGCAGTGAGACCAATAGGTTAATCAAAACACGAGTCCTGCCTAAAATGCATGCCCATGGCAGGTGAGATGAATCAAACCTGGAATGTTCATCTCTCTCTGTATTACCAAGGAAGCCTAGAGAACTTGTCTGTACTAAGCATCTCACTTCAAGATTTTTAGTATTGGGTGAATTAAAAAAAATAAAAAAGTTAACTACTTGTACCACTTGTGTGAAGGCTCACAAGATGAAATTCCTGTGTTTAAAATATTCCACGTTTTTAATATATAAATTTTCATGTCTGAGGTAATGAAAGATGCATTTTGTAGGACAGAAAAACAGAATTCCAGTGTTTCTTGAAATACAGTTCAACTTCCAACTAGATAGTTCCAACTAGAAGTGCAAAAGAGCTTTACACTAGCTCCAACAAGTTGCAGGTACACATTTGCTGCCATATGGACAGTTCCATGAGCAAACACAACTCAGAATGGGAACAATACTGTGAGCAACTAGCCTTGTTCCTGCAAAATTTATTTATGCTTCCCAGAAAAAGCAGAAAAACTGCATATCATTTTGGATAGCATATTGATACTTTGAGTTGTATGATATGAAAGGAAGAAAGAAAGAGAGAGAGGAAACCACATTTATGTGACTTTTAAAAAAAACACTATGAGAAAACTTTAACTTTAGAGGAGAAAAGTTCCGTTTTATATGAGTAATAAGAGCAACTATAAATTTCACCACGTTATTTTTTATTTTAGAACATGATTTTGAAAGTTGACTTTTTCATTCAAGTGAAATTTTGAGCCGTATCATTTATTTTTTTTTCAAATTATCACATCTGAAGCAAAAGTCTACACAGTGTAGTATTTTTATAGAAGCCAACTTTAGGATAACGGTCAAATAAAAAGCTATAATGCTGTGTTGAGGTTTTAACAAACTAGAAATATATATACTCTGTGTAAATGCCCATTTTATTAAATATTACAAATAGAACTGGTGAATCATTTTTAGTTTCTCCATTTTAACACAAAACTTCTGCTAATTCAGTTTAGGGTTTACATATATATTAAATGACTTGTATTTTCCCTGATTTGGAAGTACTCTAGCTATCTTCCATTCATCAGTATTAATCCTTTAAAATGACTCTGCTGGAATAGCCAGGTTGTGCTGAGAGGATGCCTGCACATTTCTGAATGTGACACAAAGGAACCAGGAACTTCTCAACTGGATCATTACATACTATTACATGACAGAACGTGTCCTCAAGCCACTTTCCAAGACTCGACATTGTCATTAGGAGCAAACTATATGGAAGCAACCTTTTGTGGCCATCATCATGTCATCTTCTGTAAACCATGAGGATATCCTAAACTGAATTTCCCATTTAGCCTGCATAATGTCTTCCAATGACAGTCACTCCCTGTGGAAGTACGATGCAGATTTAGAATGAGCTACTGAAGAAGATACCATTTGTTTAATTTTATTTTCATTTTTAAGCCTATATCTGTAACTCCTAAACAATAGTACAGTTCATATATTTTTGGCCAGAAACTGGCAAGGAACTTCAGGATACTATAAAAGATATGTGCGTATAAAAGCAAAAAAGCCAGAATAAAACCCTAATGTGGGTTGTCAAAATTTAAGTTGATCATTTACTCAGAGGGTTAACATGTGCTAAAATTACATACTGCAGTTCCTAGCTCCACTGATGAAAACATTCACTGCTTCTATCTTTAAATAAAAAAGCAAAATAGCCTTAACCCTTTGAGGATCATATTAGCAGCAAGTTGCAATCTAAACAGAGAACAAGTATTTCAATCAATTAGGAAATTATTCTTACAAAGATTTTGTGAGCACCCTTTTGTGTTCCACCATCCCAGCCTATACTGCTGGATATATCAGTTGTAATCATTCCACACAGGTCTGAAGAAGTTTCAGGGTCTCAAAGGGTTAAAGCCAAGACTTTTGAGTAAAAGTGTTTTATTAAAAGGGTGAGTTAGGTGAGCGAACAGTCTCAGATGAACTTGGTGAATAATCTTCCGATTCGGAGTTGAGTTCAGGTGGAGCTTGCTGTGCCTTGTAACGTCCCCTCACATCCTGGTTGCGTCTTCGTCGGAAAACCTGCCTCTCCTTATCAAGAGCGGTGGTCTGGCAGGGGCATAAAATAAGAATAAATGAAATTAGGCTGTGTGTGAAATGCAAAGGTAATGAAAACCATGAGGTTTTATGTGGCCAGAAAATACCAGGGATAATAAATGTTCAGACCAAATTAAACCTCTTCTGTCTCAGTCAGGTCTGAAAGGTTGAGCCCACAACACAGCTAAATGCTTTAAAAAGTGCATTTCCCAAACCTTAAGAGGTAGTGTGACATCATCAAGCAGATACAGTGCCATATATATGAATGCCATATGTTCTACTTCTGGATGCTATTAATTTCATCCTTAAACAGATTCAAATTTCAAGCCAAATACCAACTGACCTTCCCCCACCCTTCTCAAAGTATAAATCTGTTTCTACAGGCAAGGCAGAGATGTACGCTTGTCTTTGATTTAACCTAATGGAGGCTGATACACACTCACCCGTGTTCAAGTCAGTGCAATCATCTAACAAAGATGGATTGTGATGAAGTTGTCAGACAAGAGAGAAAAACAAACACCAAAGGGAGCTAGCCCAGCTCCCTGACACATCATGCTGCTCAATGGATGTTCTTAGGGAGAACACTGAAGAGCTGTGACAGAAAGACCTGTTTAGCCTGACTATGCTGTCTCTTCCTGTTAACCAAGGTCTACCAAATTAAATACTCTGCTAATTTTATCTATGTCTATATAAGGTATCTAGGAATGGGAAAAAAGAACGTTTACTTGATGGGCTTTACTTTTTGATCATTCCGCCACTATTAAGAACCCAAGCCTTAATAAGATAGCTATAACTTCTAGCCACATTCCTTCTTCTGCTTTTCTGGCGCATTTACAAGGTAAATGTGCAACCCAAGTAAGGTCAGCCCTAGTCTAACTAACAATTTCAAGCACAGGACTGGATTTTGCTGTTTTCTTGATTATGGGATATTAGAATGCAGTCCCTGAAATCACTGTAAAAATGTAAATTCAACAGGATGGCCTTGATTCAGCAAGAGCGGTCTGACACAGGGTTAGCTGCCTTCTGAGGCAGGGTTACCTTCTTAAATCATGACCTTTGACTGTTTTGGAAAAAGCAAAATGGGAAAAGGCAGGTATCTAGTAAGATGACATACAAAATGCAACCAAGTATCAAATCATGGCACTGGAGGCAAAGATAACTTTGAGAAATGAATAGGTTTCACTGATAAGGCTCATAAAATTTGTCCCTATAATAAAAACCCATTTAAAAGATTGCAGCCAAAAGGTTATTCTACTTCAAAGGATTTATTGTGTTCTCTTGAGATATGCATGACCGATTTCTCTAGAATATTTACCAAGTTACAATGTGAGCTTCGTAGGAGAGCAGAGATATATTTATAGCTAACATATCTTTGAGAATAAAATGAAAACTAAATCCATCATAACGGTGCAGAATAGCATTATAGCAATCCACACTTTCAAATAATGCAACCAGCATTCAATAATGATGTAACAGAGACAGAAGGATGGGCAGGAGTATGGAACTACTATAGCAAATGGATTTAGTTAGGCTAAATTAATAAACTACTATTTTTGTGTTTAGAACCTATAAAGCACTACTTTAAAAGGGTAAAATAATAACCTTTGTTAAGTTCATCTCCATATTTTAAATAATAATTGCTACAAAATCCAACACTTTTCATCTGCCAAACATTTCTTTGTTTACTGCTTATCTTTTGGTTAAGAGTATCAGTATTTTCAATGCCTTCTACATTTCTTAGCCTTGAACCAATTCAGTTTTTGATTATTTTTAATGTGAAACAGAAGAATACCTAGATCATTTACACACAGTGAATATACTGCATACAGTATGTAATTCTGTGTGAAAATTGAAAAGAATGGCATATATTACCACTCTATAAAATACAGATTTCCATTTAAAATATTTTTTTTTAATGCTTACAGGAAATAAGCATTTACTTAAAGTTTAAGCCACATCACATCATCCTGTGGTAATAGATATTCTCCCCTGAGAAATTTAAACATTTCTGGTTGAATAAATAAAAATAATTGTATTAAATTCAAAATTTATTTTTAAAACCTGTTATATGAGAATGACCAATGTATATGTAAAATCTGAAGGTATTTAAAATTAGATAAGTTACACTGAAGAAAATGTGTAAGAACATTTTTTTGAAATTTAGCCTGGGATATTGCTTTTTATAAAGGACAAAAATGACTAAACGTCAGGACATCTTTTTAAAAATGTCTTTAAAAATATGCCCCAAGATATTAGTTTTCTACTATTGTTGGGAAAGCTTTAGAGACTTTGCTTTAAACCTATTTGTTTAAACATACATAAAGGTGCTCCCTTGCTTAATAATAAAAAATGTCAAGCAAAATAACGCTTAGGGTCTCACCTAATCTAGCACCTTATGCTGCTGTAGTTTGTAGGACCAAATATTTCTGGCTTCCTAACCCTTCAGAAACTTCCTGAGGTATTTTTTGACTGTGTTTTCATTTTTATCCAAAGTTTCCCCTGCATTTGATCTAATTGGTCTTTGTAAAGAGGCATTACTTGTATGCCCCTTTGTAAAGGGGCATTATTGTGGTTACTCTCCTGGGCTGAGAGACATTCAGAGCCTTTCTCACCCAAAGAGCTTATCAAATAAATATGTATAAAGCCACAGAGAGGCAAAGTCGGTATTTATGTAGTGAAAGCAAAACCACACAGGTCATACTCTAATGTTTAGTGTTTAACATGTCAGAACTACTAAATGGGACACCTCTGGCCACAGACAGAGTACTCAGGCCCTATAGAACTTTCATCAACAGGCTTATTTTGCCCAATGTTAAAAGGAAGTTTGATACTTCCCATGTCTAATACACAGCTGGATAGTATTGCCACTCTGCACTCTGCACACATGAAATTTTTCATTTAATGCTGTTACAGTTGTTTTTTACCTCCAAAGAATTTCAAAATATGACAGGCCAAGCCTTTGGAACGCAGAGAAGATGGTAAGATAGATACATACATTTGAGCATTTCTCACATTTCCCAGATTTCACAGAATATTCTGAGTCGGAAGGGACTCACAAATCCAACTCTCTTAAGTGAATAGCCCATACAGGAATCGAACTTATTGACTGCATGTGCTTTGTAAGTGCAATTTTCACCTACTGTACTCTCTTGTGCATGTGGAGATATTCCAAAAATCAGCTTTGTCATTATCATCGATGTTTTTGTAATAAGGCCTCTTATACACATTACCTTGGTTTAACAGATGTATTCTTTCACCTGCTGTTCATCTGGTGGTTTGCTGGTGCATGAACCAGTACACTATGGATTTCCAGGGTATTTCTACTTCAAGTTACTCTTTCAATAAATAATAAGAGGATCTGAAGTGCACTTACGCTTCACAGGTCTGCAAAACCCAGATTTCCATTGTCACATTTTGATGTTTTATTTTTCCTGGCTTGAGGTTACAGAGTGAGAACTTTGAGCACTGTACGATTGTAATGGCAACTAAAAAGTAAGGATAGCATTCTTATTCAAAACAGGTAGCTGTTCTCGTGCAATCCATATGAGGAAAGGTAGAGTTTCTTACTCAGTAGCAGAGTGGATTGCCTCTAATAGTTTGGTGCTGCTGGGTCTGAAGTATTGCATCAAGAACTAATGTATTTTGTATCAACATTTAGTAATCCTGACACTCACTACCAAATGGTTAACAAGCCATTTTTGGAAATGCATTTAATTTAAAGTAACAGAGCATTATTTTAAAATAGTTATTTCTGTCACCTATATACTAAGGTGCAATTAGCATTTTTCCAGGATTTTTTTTTTAAGGAGTGTCTTTATCCTGATTTCTACCACTTGATGTTACAAGAATCCTGAGCCATGTAAATTCTTTTTTTTTTTTTTTATTTTGAAAACACTGAACTGTGTGCTTATGAACAGATACTAGAAAACTACAGCTCATTTGATATATGTGTTGGATTTGCAGCAGGAAGAGCCTTATTTTAGCTGTGGGCTGATATTTTCTGTCAGGTCAGTAATTACTGAATTAGAGTAACTGCATTTTATGAAAGTGAGCAGTGACTGTTATTCTTTTCACTTGTCTTAATTTACTGCTGGCCACCAAATATAGATATATATTAGTTCCATTAATAGAAGAACATTATTGTGCATTTTGCCTCTTAGTCAATCCATTATTCATACCAGGCAGGAGACTAAACTGGGGATGCAGCTGTTCATGCATTAATCTAAGAAACCCTTCCCTTCACTTGCTTTTATTCTGCTGGAGCATATTTGCAATTTGTTAGCAATTTCCATGATGCTTTGTTTAGTGTGCAGAATTACATGAACATATGTATTGAAACACTAGTATTTGTCTTCCAGTACCTTCTTTTATATACATGTGCATGTATGCACAAATTTAAATGTTCACACCTAGATAAGTTCATCTTATTTCCTTAAACATCTTACTAGTGACCTCTATACACTGAGATACGTAATGTCAGGTTTCCTTACTGTAAAAATGACCAGTAAACATTGCTCATGGCACAAGTCAGGCAGCCCTTCAGTTTCATCTTTTTTTAAAATTTCTTTTCCATGGGTTTCTATATATATATATATGTAAAAATAATATATATATATGTGTGTGATTGATTCATGAATCAAGACACTTTTTTGAGAATACTTCAAACTTAGCAATGCACCTCAGTCCAGGAATGAGACACTCATGTTATTTTTAGTCCCTCAGGCACAAGGTATAGCTAAGTGAAGTTACACGGTGATTTGGAGACGTGCAAATGACCACATCGAGGGGATAAATTAATCGAGTGGATTTGAACCTAGACCTCCAAATACAAAAGGTCAGTGCTTTAGCACACCACGTAACTTCTGAAATGATATTTAGCTAAAATGAAAGTAAAAAAGAAAGAAAACCAAATCAATTTGATATATGGTTAGTATTGTATTGGTGAGTGAACACAAAGACATAACTGCTGAATCCATATTGCTGTATTTAAGTTTGTGTTTACTCTTTGACATCACCCATTTTTAGAGACACAATTCCTCAGCTGGTTTCAATTACACGTGAAAGAGACTCAGTGCCAAGTTGTTTGCATGAGTGAATTTTGTTTATAGTTTGTAAATCAGTTGTGGTTTTTTTAGTCAAGGAGCAGGAGAAGAGATTTTAAATGATTTTAGATATTTGCCTGTATTTACCAATATTCAGTTTAAAGAGGGTTTTACTGTATTAAAAATGGCACTTTACACATAGCAAGCCTAATTCCCAACTTCCTTGTCCCATCAAGACGTCTGGCTGTAACTTTTGACTTGAAAGTGTATTGTATCCACCTGGGACAGGTGTAAGTAACTCAACAGATGCAAAATAAAGTGAATTAGGAACCAAACACGGAAGATGGAACTCTGGGTTTGAAAATGAGCTATTCAGATACATTTTTAACTGTGACAGTGAGACCTCTATTTTAAAAATCCAGTATTTTATGAATTCAATACTGACCGGATTGATTATTTTCTTAAGCATCCAATGCAATTCATCTCCTTTCTATTATCATTACATAGATAGATCATTAATGACTTTCTCATATATTTCCTGGGTTTTATTTTGCTCATTTAGCTTTTCTACAATGTCTGTAAATATATAGAAAATAACATACCCTAACATTTTATTCTGATCTTATATATAATGCTACATATAGTAATATTTTCTACTAATATTTTATGTTAGATACAATCATTCTGGTATTCCCTTGATATTCTGAATCAGCCCAAACTTCAGAGCTTTAACTGGGACCTCCAGGTCTTATCCCCTACTGATGCTGCTTTGGCCTTTTCTGCACCTTTAATTGCAGGGCTGATGTCCCAACATTATTAGCTGGGTGTCTTTTAAAATGTGTATTACCCTGGAGTCCAAATGATTTTACTGATTTGTCCTCGGTGTTTTTTCCTGATCTTCATATTCAAGGAACCATCTAAAATTTTCCAGGCACTATAGCTCATACCTGCTACAATAACTGCTACTGTACATAAGGTTTCTTCTATTTTAGTACCTAAAACCAATCATGTCACTTCTGTACATATTATCCTACTGAAAGGGAATAAAAGTATGCAGAATGAGTGATCAGAAAACTAGGATTCTGAAGGACTTTGAAAAGGAAAATCTTCTAGGCAGAGGAAGAAGAAGGTTTTCTGGTTATTGAAGGAGGAAATAGTGCCATTTAAAAAGTATTTTAGAAAACTGCTAGAAACTAGGGATGAAAACAAAAAGAAAAGAAACATATAGTTAAGAATAACAAAGGGAGTGTTACATTTTTCTTGGTAGCTGCTTTAATTTTTTTGCTCTACTTGTGAATTCAGGTTAATTTTCATAGGCCTGTGATGAAGTATCTGTTTTGTAGATGGGAACTGATGAACCTTTTCATATGCTTTGCATCTGCACTACTTAAAAATAAACACTTTCTACATAGAAATAGTTTCATTTAGGCTAAAATGCTGGTCACCAGAGCAGCTGCATGTTTCTGGGAGAGGAGAGAGGCCCAAACACACAGCAGTGCTTGGTCAGAGGTATCCCCTCCGAGCGGATTTCCTAATTAAACATCTATGCCTAGAAGTCCTGCTCTCCCAGTTTGCCTTTCCACACTAGGTGCTCAGTTTAGAAAACCCTAATTATAAACACTGTTGTTACTGCCCCCAGCTGGAAAACAGAGCAGTTTATGTATGAATAAGAGAGATTATCGCCCATCTGCTCCAGCCCATTATTCAAGGATGTGTCATTTTGTATGCTGATGGTCATGCAATGCTTTAGTCAAATGGCCTTTTTTTTTTTTTTTATAGCTTTATTTATTTACCAAGTTGCAGAATTAGACCCTTCCCCCCTACATCCTCAAAATGCATATGGTTTGTTTCAAAACCTGGGCTAAGCAGTTAAACTGAGTCAAGGCCAGTCTGAGGAGATGCTCACTTTTCTCACAGACTCCTTTTCTGGTGGTCTGCTCCCCCTGAAGGTGGAGTTTTAAAAGATCAAAACATGTATAGCAAACAGGAAGATAAATAGAGCTCATGCGAGCTTCCCCCACTTCACAGAGGAGGCACTGAATTTGCAACTCTTTGTCAAAGTTCTGCTTGACAGAAAACGCTATCTTTCCTTCTTAAGCAGATAAGAAAAATTCCTCTAATGCTATGAAACACACACAGAGCTGAAACTGGGCACTCAGGCCCCATTCACCCCTTCTTCAAACCAAGGAGCACAGATGCTGGGCAGCCATCAGGGCTGCAACCTATGAAGCATGCCAAGTGACAGGACAGATCAAGCAGGTTTTGCTGTGCCCTCACAGGTCATGGTAGGTTTATAGCTACCACCACAAGTGCAATAGGCTGGAATTAGATGAATTACAGGTACTGCTGCACACTCCGAGACTTGGAGTGAAAGTCTTTCTCAATTTTTGCTAGCCAGCGTTCAACTGATGGATTGGAACTATTTTTCTACTTTTTGCCTGAAAAATAGGCTTAGTTTTGGTTTGGGGTTTGGTTTTTTTTTCTTTCCCCAGAACATCCATATCTGAAACTACTTAGCCCTCAGTGTGCGCGCAGGGAACTGTTAGGTTTTAGGGAAAGTGTGTTGTAGCCCAATCCATGCACTCGGTGAAATGATCCAGAGTGGGAGTTATACTTTACTGGAAACATTTGCAGTGACCATCTCTGCTGTTTTGCCAATGTGGTTAATTTGCTGAGTTTTTACAAATCTCTCACAGACAGGTTTTTAAAGGCAGTGTTAGAAAATACAGGTTTCACAAGAAACTTTTAAAAATTTCTCCAGTTCCAAATGTAGGTCTTGTGAGTAGTAAGAAAGAAAAAAGACAGCAAGTAACCACTTGATGGAAATTCCAAGACTCTGGATTTATTGAGGTGTGTGGGCCTCTTGTGGGCTATCAGACCTGGATCCCTCCTTGCCCCTGCTGCAGAATAAGCCCCTCCCTCCCAGAGACCCATTTTATCATACAGGTTAAGCCAGCTAACGACAACCCTGGCACAGTTACACAATGAAGAAAAATATATTCAAAAGACTCATGCAATATTAAAAAAAAAAATAATCAAATCAAAATAAATAGGTATCAGAAGGGTTTTAAAAAGAAAAGAGAAGGAATGCATTGTTAGAAACACAAGCTTACCAGCACATACAATGCATTGTATTTCAGTGAACTTAGGAGAGTTTCTACAGCCCGTGTTATGTAAATGCATTGTTCAATCTAAGGTAAGGATTGTGTTTAGTGGGTTTAAAATGACAGTATATAGCTCCATATCTTGCATGGAAAAAGAGGAAAATATATGCTGAGAGCCTGTTGCTACTCCTTTCAAACACTCCTGTGTTTTGAAACAGGAGTGCAGGGGAAGCAGATGCCTTAACAAGCACAGGGAGGGGGAGGGTGCGTACTTCAGCATATCTGGTAGATTTTCTATATACACTGTCCTTTTAACTGTAGGAGAGATTGATATTGAGCATGTGCGATGAAGAGAAAGCTGGCAATGTGGGTGTGAGGAATGGGTGAAGAAAGGGAATGAAGGGGTGTGGCATCTCAATCAAGATTAAAACGAAACTGATAAAGCAGCATATGGACCCGATAACAAATCAAAAAGCATGTTTATCCACTGAAGGAACTGGTTAATGGAGACTGCCAGCACGTTGCCATGGAAACACTGACTGTTGGCGCTGCACCATCTCATACCTTATCCAATACATTCCTGGTTGTTGGTAGTAGTCCAAAGACCCTGATCTCTTGATGGTAAACCCGTGGTCCAGCTGAGCAGAGAGAAACGGGGCAACTCAGTGGATCGACATTAGGCTAGAGAATTCAGACTCCAGAGCAAGCTGTTCCTTATTTAGTGCATATTTACTGTTTTCACTTTCAGAAGGCTCTTATCTAACATCCTAAAGCTACGTATCATAGAAGGAAAAAAAAAAAAAAGGTAAAGAAATAAAAGGAAAAGATACTAACACTAGGTTTGGTCTTGCTAAATTAGAAGCCAATTTATTCAAACTAAAATGGAGTTTGTGAAATAGGTTACTTAATGCATAATGCATTCATTTAAAAGTCTGACAAATATCTTTTAACCTCCAAAGACAGTACTGCCCTTTTAAGTTGCACATACCAGTAACAGAATCTTTTGCAATTAAACTGAGAGGTTTAATAATAAAAAAAAAATTAAATGCAGTGCAACCATCATAAGGAGCAGGCTAGACAGACTACACAAGGCTTAAATTAGACTGCTTCAAAATCACGGAATGTGTAAAGACGAAAAGAATCACATTTTGATACTCCATCAATCATGGTAATTCATTTCTAAAAATGCGTTAACCTTGTAGAGTAGGACTACTCAGAGCCATGAATAACATTGTTTATCATTTCAGCTTACACCTCATGCTCAAAAAGATAATAGTACAAAACTATTTGGTTTAAAATTGCACCAATTAAAGTCAAAATGGAAATGAACTTAACACTGTGTCCAGGAAAATATGCTAGTGACATTACTTAAGGAAGACAGATTTTTCAAGTTTAGTCTATCATTAGCAAAATCATGTGCACAGGAACAAAGAAAATGTGTTCTTTACCCTAACCCTTCTGTGCTGCTCTAACAGACGGTGGAGACATCATTTAGCTGAATTAAATAAAATTTTATGGGAAAATATCTCCAGAGACACTCTGTCTGCTTTAAAACTGTTAGTTGCAATGATTTTCAGATTTTGCCCTAGGAAGAGAAAAGGCCATTTTGTGCTTCAATAAGAGCATGGCATATATTTCCAATACTGATGACAGTTTCTAATTCTAAATTCAGAAAAGCAGTTCAACACATTTCCAGGTACCAATCACTTCAAGGGAGTTAGGGACTAACTGCAAATTTGAATTTTTCTTGATGACTCTCCTTCAATAATTTAGTAATTTATTCCATTTTGTTAAAACAATGCCACTTTCATCTTATTTAGAATTATTTAAAGGATGCTTCCTGTTTAAAACCTTGTACCTAAATTTGTGTTTGCTTAACTACACTGGTCTGCTATTGCCATCTACTGGTTTCCTTGTATGCTGCACATAAAACACACAAAAGGGATGTTTTTCTAAAAAGTGGATTAAAAATATCGCCCTAAAATTGAATAGCTAAAAATTAATACAGAGGAAACGGCAAGAGTCACTTCCTAACACGAAATGGAAAAATTTTGGCAGTGTGGAAATTCTGTCATGAGAAACCTGACTGCAGACAGTGATCTCAGGACAACACAGACAATAGATGGGAAGGGATAGTTGAGACACAGGTTGATCTTTAGGGCAAGCAAAACTTACAGGCTGAATTTGGTTTCTCTTCCACACCACCCAAGAAATCCCATGGCTAAAAATACCACTTTGCATTTGTAACTTTATTTTAAAATTGGTAGAATGCAGGGCAATGGCATACCCACTGCCTTCCCATTGCCGGGGTCCTGAACCCAGGACCCTGTAAGCAGCAGAGAGCTGCACCAACTTTCTGAGCAGCTTTTCTCCTTTGCTGTTCTACTCAATTCCTCTGCATCTCCAGATGGAGATGCATTACGAAGACAGAGACCTCATACAACCGTAACAGCAGGTTAACATTAGTCTCTTCCTCTGTCTTAACAGTGGCCAAAGTACAAGCACAAAAGTGATGACATACAGGCAAAGCTTTAACACTTCAGACAAGGACACATATTAAATGATGCTTGGTTCATACAAGGAATTACAGCACACCTCTGTGTTGCAGAATAATTCTTTAAAAGTGATTTGGGCTCCTAGTCACTCTAGCCACTGTCACTAAAGCCCAGAGGGTATTGTTTCATGGCAAAGTCAAAAAAAATGGGATTGCCATCTTTGGAGAATTGAAGGGAAAAAAAAGTCTACCTCCAAATTTTAAAAAGACTAGTTAGTAGAAGTCTGGTTTTATGTTTTTAACTGCAGTATGTTTTATAAACACTGCCACAGAACTACAAAATACTGCTCCTATTGAAAAGCCCTACAAGAAACATGATCCTGCAAATATTTTGGCACATGCTTAACAGTAATGTGGCCATTCTGATACAGATTGAGGGGCACTAGCCCAGCCTCTGTCTCCCACAGAGACCGGTAGTCAATGCCTGTGACGAGAGTTTAAGAACAGGGCACGTAAAGTGATACTTCTCCTACATATTCTCTCATCAGCAAACAGTGTTTTTAGGGATTTGCTAATTCTCTTGCTGTTTTAAAAACTAGCTCTCCAATTAAAATTTTGCTGGCAAAGCTATGTTTGTTCAAGGGAATTTTTTCCCAACTGACATAGTTATGCTGACAGAACTTCTAATGATGTATTATTGTATCAACAGAAAACTCTCTTTGCCTGTAGAGTTAATTTTGTTTCAGAAATCATACTGCTACATCAGCAAAGGAACTACTTTGCTAGGCATGCACAACATGTTCATTACGGTAGTTTGTCCAAACTGACAAATCTTTTCAAATATGGAGAAACTTGAAGTCTGGACACATGCATGAGAAGTAGGATGTCTCTGCCTTGAAATGTCAGAGACAACTTTTACTGAAGATTATGGCATCAATAAGTCAGACATAAGTCTGAGCCAAAGGAGTCAATGAAATTTCTGAAGCAGGTGGCTTCAAACTTTCAATCACGCTGACCAGAAACACATCTTTAGGAACTTAATTTTCATATTATAGTTTTAATTGGTGCATATGATAAATACTCCTTGAGATCTTTGAGGTGTGTTATGTCTTACCATCAAAGAAAACAGGCATATAATACTGTATCATACCAATGTGAGGACAAATTAAGAACTAAATACCACATATTAGCTATCCTTGTACATAAACAGAATTGTAAGATTCAAAGCAGTGACATTATTTATCTTTCATACTATTAAGTAAGCTACAGAAATATATGCACATACTAACACATTTTCACAAACACAGACACAGATGTGTTATATAATGTATAGAAGACATCTCTATATATTATATACACAAGCACTCTCTCAAAAAGTTACAGTAAACATACAAGCAGGTACAAACCCCCATTATTTTATAGAAAATATAGTTAGTGCATGTCTTTAATGTGGAACGATGTTACAGCATCTATACTTTGAAAGTTCTAAATCTAGAGCAGTCTTTGTTAATAGGATTTACTTCTGTGATATTTGAGATTGCACAGCTAAAAGAAGATTCTCAAACATAAAACTCTGATGACATGCATATCAAATACAGATTAAATTGGTTTTTCAAATGCAGAAACAGCATTTAAAGGCATTGTTGTTCTGCTTTTGTTTTTCTTTTACACATCAAAACATTTTGTAGAAAACAAAACTAATTTATTTGTAAAGTAAAAATTATCTAGCATTCTGTAACATCACCAAAATACTAAAGAGGTCTATATTTCCCTATCTCTTCCAATTTTTTAGAAAATATTTGACACAAGCTAATCAAAACACTTTCTGAATTATGTAAAAATATTCTAAACATTTCTACTTTATAGGACAAGTTGCAGGATTAATCATGCCGGAGTTTGCCCACAGAGAAATGATCACTAAAAATATTCTGTTAAATTTCCAAACACTAAAAAATATTTAGAATGTAATTAAACATACAATTTTTCTTCCTGACGTATAATATTTTGCAGTGGAAAGATTCACTACAGTGCCTTTTTCATTACTGAAGTTTTAAACTGCTGCAAACAATTCCTTGGCAAAGCAATTGGGGAAGAGAAAAAAAGAGGAGGGCGGGGAAATTAAAAATATAAAGGAGGCAAGGGATGGATGAGGACAGAGGCATAATTTCTTGCTTTCAAGCTTTGAAGTCACTAGCATGGAGGATCTGAGCAGTAATTCTCATGGACAAGCGTGCTGGCAGTCCATTTAAAAGGAACACGATTTCAGCTAGTCTATACAGAACATACCTGCAGTTCAGATGAGCAATGGGTATGTGATGTTTTAGTTGTGGGAGAGTTGTTGCAGTATTATTGCTTAAAAATGAAAATAAATAAATGCTGACTATGTTAGCTGATGGCTGAGAAAATCTAGGAAAAGCATGAGGAACAACTTGCTTCCATGTTGAGGACGTTCAGGGTAGGAAAGAGTAAAGAAAAAATATGAGAGGCACAGCTTGAAATTTTAAGTACTTATACCAAGTAACTTTGAGAGAGTATCCATTTCGCTGCCCAAGCACTTCACACCTGTGAGCCAGATTGCATGTGCTGAGCTGAGCTTACTTCATGCTGATTTAACTCTCAACACTGGAGGGGCTGAGCTGAGAAACATGAAAGTGGAAACAGTACAAGAAAGTGTACATGTGCAGTCACACCACCTGCAATTTATGGAAGCTGGGAATGAACACTGAGTAATCTGATATGGGAATGGTTACGTTTAACATGTCACTTAGTTTTAGTGACTATTTGGAGCGTTCACATTACTATGAGTAATAAAGAAAAGCTTACAGACACAAGCAGATGTATCAAAAATGTGAAAGATGTGCATGTTACTATTCAATGGCATTAGTATGAGTAACCTCATCGTATGCTGAATATATTCTGTGCCCATGTATAACTAATACACATGTTCATCTGTGAGAAAAAAATACAGTTTTATGGTATGTATGCTACACCAAGGATGCCATTGAAACCTCAGTAAAGCTTGGCTAAAAGTTTGGTCAAGCTTAGTTTCAGAAGCTCTGACACATTCTAACCTAGAATGGCTCGACTGGAATTGCAAGATGACATAAGGCAGCAAGGAGCTCCATTACGTCTTTACCCAGTTAAGTGCTTCTGCTGAAAGGCAAGCAGCTTGCGTGTGGCACTACAACAAAATGCTGATGCTCAGCTAAATCTGAAGTGGCTAGACTTATAAACCATGAAGACAGCAGTGAGGCATCATTGTTCTCTTTCATGTCTTCAAAGAGGAGAAGTTTAGGCTGCCATATAGATTTTCAGTTAAAATTTTGAAGCAATTTCCATTTTAAAGTGGTGCTGCCCTTCTGCTGCAAACCTCTTTGTGGCCTCAATCCACATGATGAGTATGCTGCCAAGGAAAATGTCATGATCCCATAGTTCAAATTGTCAAATCTACATTGGAGTTAAGTCCACTGATCTTCTAGTAAAATGTGGAACTGTGTGTACAGTTGTATCTCCTAGGGCTGTTCAATAACAATGTGACTCACAAGCAGAATCAATGGAGAAGTTGTGCAGAATACCAATCTATGCTTATATTAATTAAATGTTAGAATTATCTAAAGATTAACCCCCTCTGGTTTCTTTCAGTGAAATGTCCTAACACATACTGTCTGATGGGCACATAGATGTGTTTTCAGCTGTGTAATTCAGATGCTTACTGCTATGACAGAAACTCCAGCTGCTGTGCTGTTCGGCTTAGGGCCTGTGTTGAAATGCTTCTTTATCTTCCCAGCTACTGAGAGCTGATGTTCATTCTCTGGAAGGCCATCATCCTGCAGAGAAATAAAACAAAATAAAACTTCAGAGAGAAAAGGCAAAAGGGAGGAATTGCAGGGTGATTCTGATAACGCCTGTCAATACAGAAAAGTTTACAAAAAGTTTGTATTAAAATATGGGTCAATCATTGCCTCCGCCAATATATCTAAGGTACTTCTAAGATGAACATATTATGGCATGAACCAGTCTCTCTCTCTTCTTCTTTACTCAATCTTCGCAAATTTTAGGTAATGTTAATTACAATAATTGTTAAACATTTTATTTTTATTTTTACCATGCCTTAATCACCATTGCCCAGTTATTTTTAGGTCCATTAATATTTTGAAGTTTGATAAAATCAGACTTGTTTATGATTCTGTTTACTCATTACATACATTTAATGATAATGACCTCAAAAGTGAAAAGTATCCAAGAGATTACAAAAACAAAAGGCCCTATTTTGGCAAGATGCAGGAAAGGATCTTCCAGAATTCTGAGAGACACATATAAGCTCCTTGTATCATTGTAAATGTTTCACACTCAGGGACTACAGGGTTGGGTGAAAGATGTGGCCACAATTCAGTGAGTCCCACAGTGAGGAAACCCAGATAAGATAGGAACTGAGACATGCCCTGGCTGAGACCCCCTCGGGGGGGTTGAGGGTGAGACCTGACCAACTCCAGGATGCATCGTTGCACATGTCTGCAGGCCAGGCCAGGCCAGGTCAGGTCAGGCGTGAGCTCACGGCTTGTGGTGCCATTCCCCACAGACTATGACAGTACTGTACTAAAATCCTCGCAAACCAAAACCACCTCCACAAATCAAATCTCCAACCTTCCCTCTGACTGATAAGAAAGGCACTACAATTCCTTCCCTCAGTCTGAAGGCACACAAGCCTGGGATGCTGTGGGGAAAGGTACATGAATGCAGAGGCACAGACTGCCTGGGAAAGCAGAGAAGGGCTGAAGCCAGCTGTGGGTGGCCTCTTCTTCCATGCCAAAATGTATATGTTCTCAATTTGAGCTAACCTGAAGTAAAAGAAGGTACACAACTGAATGGCCAAGTAGAGGCAGACACATGTTCTGCTGCAGTGCACACCAAGTGACCCGGCTGTGCACGCTCTCCAGCCCAGACACCATGCAGCTGGTCTGGGACATGCCTCCCTCCAGCTGAGACATCCCGCTTCGCAGAGAAAACCTGGATATCTGTACCTAGGCACATCAGCAACCTCCATGCTGAGATGAAACCATAGCAGAAAGAAGGGAGTTCGCAGTTTTGTGCAAGTCCTTGGGTTGGATTCAAGCCCAAGAAAAGGGGAGTTTTTTTAGAAATTGTAGAAAAGATCCTTATGCCTGAAAAATGTGCAAAAAGCCACTGCTCAGTGAGACTTCCCCGCTAGCAGAATATGCAGGATTTCAGGCAACAATATGCAGAATAGGTGGAATAGGGAGAAAAACATGCAGGATATCAGGTCACTGGTCACACACCATGGTCATCCCAAGCTAGTACTGCATGGTGTGTGTAGCTGACAACATGTTGAAAAAGTTTTAAGAACTTAAACTCCACTTAAGCAAAATCATAGCAGAATACAAGCAAACGAGAAACAAGATCAGAATGGAGAGAGATGACACTTTTTTTTGTAACTTCACAGCAATTCTGAGTGCACTTAAAGACTTACAGAGCTGCTGCAGTAAATCACGAGTTCAGTGAGCATATGGGAATTTTAGGGAGGTTGGTAGGGTTTGTTTTTTATTTAGCTTGGGGAGTTTGTGTTTAGAGATCCCTTACTCACCCCTTAACAAAATGTCTCAGCTGGCAAAATATGGTCAAGTGCACACAGCTGCAAAACACAAAACAAAACAATACAACCCAGTAGCTGATTATTGTCTAGCACCGGGGAGTCTTGGCTCGGTAGTATATGACCCCTAAAAATAACCTGCTTTCCGTTGACCTTCCTTTCCCAGAAGAAAGCTAGTTTGTAAAGTGAATTTCTCTTCACTAGAGGAGGGAGAAAAAATAAAATCATTCTCTTTGCTTTCTTGACATGAAAGCCTGCCAAACATTCATGTCATCTTGTCAAAAGGCTAAATTACAGAGAAGACAATAGTTACCAAGACTGTGGTCATATTTTATTGGTGAAGCACCACACCCACACTTTTGGTGGCAACATGCCACAGATACATAGTTTGGGCTCCAGTTTTTAGATGAAATATTTCACAGCTCAATTTAAGATGCAGCATAGGGATATATTGAAATTCCTCTATCATTACTAAATTTTTATTACTACTGTTGGTGCCACCTGACATTTAGTAGTTATCATTTTTTTATTCAAACGCGCTTTATAAACAAGTCAGTATATATTAGGCTGGCTCCTGGAATCACTTCAGTCAACAATAAAATAGATAGCTATTGAGGGTGAGAGATGACAGCTGTTAAACTAAATACAAAACAAGATGCTCTGCATTTTTGAAAGGCAAGAAGTAAAAAAAGAAACAAACGAACAAAAAACAAAACACAAAACAAAAAAACAAAACAAGAACAAAACCATCAGATTGATCAGATTCAGCAGGGTAAGTTGTAGAATTCGAGAATAGGGTAAACACTGCTGACAAGAATTTCACTGGGTTGCTGTAATGGGAAGGATGTCAGACCCCAAAGAGGTTAACTGTTCCTATTTCCCTATTTTTAAGATTTTGGGTTTTTTTCAGTGGGTTAGGACCACAGAATCTCATCTCAACTTTAGCAGTAATCACAAGATCTTTTAAAGACGACTAGTGATTTTTGGTGCTCAATCAGGGCACTTTAAAGGGTCATGAGCTTCAGAAAACATTGACTGCTGATGCTCTCAAAGAAGAGCTCTCCGGTCCATGACTCAGAAACTGAGCAGTCAAAATTCATTGAGTGTTTGAAAACTCTGGTCCAGAATTTGAGTTTTCACATGGACAATGTAAACTGCTTGGAATGTTAAAATACTTCTGGGTTTTGTGTTATTGGTTTTTTAATAGATGTTTGGTTTTGTTTTTATTTGTGTTTTTTGTTTGATTTTTTGTTTGTTTTTTGTTGGGTTTTTTTGTTTTTTTTTTAAATCATCCTCCACAAAATACATTTCATGGCCTATTTGACAGAAATCAAAATAGTATATATATATATAAAAAAAAAAGGCATGGGGTCTTGGAGTCATTCTAGTAATTAATAAAAATTGGTTTCATATTTGCATTGTTCTCTGTGGCAGAATGCATTGCCACTCAAAGGAAAAGGAAGCGTTAAAAGGATGTAATGAAGTTCAGGATTTCCAGACTCCTACTGCCCTGAAGGAGTTATATCCATTTCACAAGTTAGTCATAAGACCTTTACTTTCCAGGTCTAAAATCATCAGATGAATAGATTATTATACAAATAACAGCAGGAATCCGGAGCAAATAGAAGTGCTGGAAAAGCTTTTGAACAATGGTTCCTCTAGGGATTACAGGGAAACCTTTCTTTGTGCAGTGTCCTAAGGTGTAACCAAAAGTAGTGCAGCTACAAAACAAGAAATGTCTTTTTAAATTAACTTCCTTTCAAATATCCCGCTTATTGCTACTTATTGTTTGGTTATTCATTTCTTTTGCACGCAAATTTCCGAGGCAAACACAAGGAAGGAAATAAATAAAAAAAACCCCTCAGGTTTTCTGAATTCTTTTTAGGCTGGTGTGTGCCATCTTTCCTCCTCCAGCAACAACACAGATTTTATGTTGATTATTTTAACAGAGAAGGATTTAGGGAATGCAGTCCATTCCTTTCAGCATTTGCTGCTCAGTGATGTATTAGGAAACAGTTACTACTTATACAACAAAAAAAGAGTAAGTTTGTCCTGTAGCTTGTTTCAGGTTATCAATAACATCAATGTTTAAAATGCTGGATTTCAAGCTTCCAGCCTCTTTTATAATTCTTTGGTTTTGCAAAGACTTTAAGCAGGTAAAGGAAAGAGCTGGGGTCCCTGTAGGGGAAGTATAAACTGATGGATTTGTTTCCAGGTCCAAGTGTACTGCATAGGAGAGATGACTGAGTAAACTAAATGAAGGGGGCAAAGAGCTGCTGCTGAATTGCATTTAGAATTCAAGATCTCCATCTGTGGCAGTGGCATGTAGCCAACATCTTTTCAGGTTTTGTTTTTTTTGAATTGAAAACAGCTGGAATATCATTGACATAGGAACTGTTTTACTGGTCTGACTCTGACCATAACAAGTTTTGCAGTTTCCAAGAGGATTCCAGCTATTTTTATAGCAAAAACTGAAACTAAAATGAGGGTTTGCTCCTACTGAAACTGTCAAAGCACATTCCAGGAATCTCAGCAATTTACCAAGTAATCACATAGTAAGCAGCTATAAAGTGGAATGGTTATTTACAATCTACAAAATGGTTTTATACAGTGTAAGCAGTTACAACACTTCTATCAAAGGTTTGATCAAAGAGAGAAAATGTTTCTTAAAAACACATGCCTGTTTTTCAAGCCAGCTGTTTTATCTAGTACTTTAGCTGCGGATTTAACACTTTACAGGTTCAAAACTGAAATAAGAAAAGTTTTGTGGTGAATCTCTATCCCAGCTGAAACCAGGACAGAAAGGGAAATAAGCCCAGCATTTGATGCCATGAAAAAGTATTTAAGCAGGTTACCTGTGAAAATGGAGTGTAGGTGAAAATTCCCCATTTCTTCTCAGAAAGCATGCCGATAATTGCTCAGGTAATTACAACACATAGATTGCAGAGCGTTTTGTAAAAAGTGATGAGTAAATTAATTCCCTGTCCTGAAGCTGGGAAAATGAGGTAGAGGGAGGCTGTGTGACAGACTTGCACCTGATCAAACAGGTGATGGCATGGGGACGCGTAGCTGGATCTAAGATCAGTGTACCATTCTGCCTTGCTGCACCAGCAGGCTCTCCCTGGTAGGCTATCTTCTACTGTGTCTGCTAGGCTAGACATACTTCAAGGAAATGCCTTTTTTCGTGAAATCATTTAAGCACCTGTTTCAACTCAGCCATGTTCTTATTTCTCCTGATGTGAATTAGGATTGTAGTGCCATCGAGTTAATTTTATGCCTGATATTAAGTGCTTCCATGTGTGATGCCTTGAAATAGGAGCAATGTTTGGAAAATGTTCAAGCACTTTTCTGAACTGGTCCCAGAGCCGTTTTTTTTCCTTCCAGAAAAAATATCTGGAGGACACATATGAGAATTCAAAAGCAGTTTTGATCTGCATTATGAACTATCTTTAGCGTATTGCTGAAGACAAAATATTGATTCGTCTCAGTTGCTAAAAGCAGCAATTGGGCAGAAAAGAAAGAATTACAGAAATGTCATGGAATTTTTGTTTCACTTACTTATAGATTGAATTTCTACAGGTTTGATTGCAGAGAGTTATTACCAGCATAAGATTACAAGAAGTGCAGCAGAGCTAGACCAAAGATGAATGGAACACTGTATATTGTTTCTAATACTGCATTGCTGTCACTGTTAAGAAGTAGTACCTTTAACAAAGACAAATAGATCTTGAACTTTCCCTGGTATATCCTCTAGTTCCTGCCAACCAAGTACTTAAGAACTTTGTGAGCCAAGAGTTATATCCAGACCACTATATTTAATAAGCTCCAATGGGCTCATCCTCCAAAAATGTATTAAATTCCCTTTTGAATCCATTTATGCTTGTCCTCTACAGCACCTTCTGGCAAAGGGTTCCACGTGTTAACTTACTGCACAGAAACTCAGGAATTTGCCAAGATGCTTCAGTAACCAGAGCTCAGGTTTTGTTAGCAGAGCTCTGGAGTGCTAAAAGTCTTTAGTCCTCGCCCCCTCTCCCCTGCCATCCCCATCAGCAGGTACTACTGAGGGCAGGGAGCAGATCTTCATGTCACTTGCACACTATCACCATCAGGTTACTAACAAAGAGTTGTACTCTTTAATACACTGCATTAAAATGGCTTCCTAAAACACATCATGGTGTAACTGAATTTAAAAAAAATAGTGTCTGGGAGTAGCATTATTATTTCAAATATATTTTTCAGAAAAAGGTGAAGATAAGTGACTACATCCTTAAATGGTGTAAACAAGTGACATTTCAATAATCTCAGCAGCAGCGTGCAGGCTGACACTGCAGGTGACCTGGCCTCTCTGTGGCTTCTGATAGTCACTTCAATCTCTTCCCCTGCAGAACTCCAGAAATCTCTACCCATCTTCCTCCCATGGGCACATAGAGACACCTCAATCACCAAAAGGTATTATAAACTGTGACAGAACACCGTGTTTCAAGGACAGCCCCTGGCACCAAAGAAAATTAGTATTTCAGGTGCTTGAATGTCATCTTAAAAATGTAAAGATTTTCATCAGATGTTTTCCTGGATCCTTGCACTCTTTGTACATCACAGAAGTCCTCTGCATGATAAAAACATTTACAATTTAGAAAAAATGGTTTGGGCAACAAGGGAGCCCCCAAGTCTTAAACACATACTTGTTAAATGCTTAACTGATCACCACTACTCTGGATGATATGGAGGACATTTTTATAAAAAATTAACATCTGAGGTTACTGTATATTTGAATTTTTAGAATAGTGTGTTAGTGGGAAAGGGGTTTTGGATACAGTAGCTGAGGGACCAAATAGTATTCCAGGGAGGGCTGCACACTCAAACTTGCAACAAACAAAATGAAACATTATTTCTTCTTCCTTCATTTTTTTTTCTCTGTTCATCCCAATTGTGTTTTTTTTCTCAGTTGTCTCTTCTGAATTTGAATATAGACTGTCCCATATTTATTTCTTGTCATCCAAATATTTTAAGACATGTTAAATAGTCTGAAATAATTAACAAATATAAATTATCATCAGAACCTAAATATGATTCTAAAGGTTTCCCTGTTTCATTCTGGATCAAGTAGTTAAATCTTATGAACTATATTGCAGTAACTCTTAATCATGATTTGAGATTTTTGAGTTCATCTGATTTTAGGAGAACAAAATGTGTCACTGAAGCTTCAAGATGACTTTTAGAAATATTAATTTATCAAATGTCATTGAGATATTTTTTAAAAACCCGGCTCAAAATATTTCAGAGAAAATGTAGCTGAGCATGCATATAACAGTGTAAACTCCAAGGTATGTGTATACATTAAATAAGTGTGTAACCCAGCTTATTTCCAGTTAAATTTGTGGCAATTCTAGAATGTGCTGGCTTTCAAAAGGGCACAGCAGGGCCTTGACAGGAAAGAGCTCAAAGATGCCAGACTGCAAGAAGCATCTACAAGTCTGAAAATACTTACATTAACCCATGGATGCTCAAGAACTTGCAAGGCTGAGAACCGCAGATCTACATCTACTTGAAGCATCATTGTGATAAGTTCCTGAGAAATGGAACACTGGATCAAATTTAGGGAACACTTTTAAAGAACAAATCAACACACACTAAAGAGCTCTTGAACTGATTTTGTAAAAGTGCTCTAAGAGAGAGTGAACTACCAACTGCAGAAATATATTATTTAAAAAGTAGAACAACGATGAACTGCTGAACTTCCAGATGCACTTTTAAATCAATATCTAACCATACGTTGAAAAGCTAGAAGACAGTTCTGAGTTACAGTTCTGAAGCCACTGTTTAACAGAAAAGCACTTCATACATAATGTGCAAAACAGATGGTTGCATCAAATTAGGTTAGCTTCCCATTAGGAAAAAGAAAATTTCTCTGTAAGAAAAAAAAGCCAGCAAATCTAGAATTTTACTTTAAGCTCTTGTAAAAATGACACAGAAAATATTAAAAGAACCCCAACACTTAAAAACTCTTTTTCATCCTCTGATTTTCTCTACAATTACCTAGTTTTCAACTAGCATGTAGATAAACATATATCTAATTTCACCACTGAGTGGAGTCCATGGCAAAAATAGGATGGCAATATGGCAGCAAATAAAGGTGTATGAACAAAGAACAAAGCAAGTAATTCTTAGTGACAAAGGTAAGTTAAATGAATAGGCTAATGCTTCAAAACAGAAATTTTAGACTGAACTATCTGGAAGAAGGAGTTTCACAGGGAAACACCGCTGGCAAGGGACTTGCGGAGTTCCTATTAATGATGCTATGACATGAAGCCTCTAAACCACACAATGATGTGGTTTAGAGGACTTAAAACTCTATGACTGTATCTCATTCATTAACCTAACTAGCTAACAGGTTAAAATGCTAGGCCTGATCACCCTCCACATATGTGTAAAAGCCAGATGTATCTGCCTTAGGACACCAAAGGCTACAGTCCAAGAACTACGACCCAAACAAGTCTGTATTTCGTACCACATTACAACAATAAAGCAATACATACAAAGCACAGTCCCAGGGAGCTTTCAAGCTAAGAAGTGTAGGCCAACCAAAGTTACTTAAAATTTTTCTTAATCAGTAAGGACTACTCATTTTTCTATTGTGTAACATCACAGAGAGATATGATGTCCTTTCAGAACAGGGTCTATTTCCGAACCACACGGAGTCTAACAGAGAGTAACCACACAACATACTCGGTGACCAGTATGTTTATAGGAATAGCAGGAGATGTATGAGACATGTCAAATACAGCACTGTGAAAGAACAGCAGGCATTAGATACTCCCACTAGAAATAATAATGGAGAAGAAAGTATCAGCAGCTGTAAAACTCACCTTTGCAGAGTCAGAAACATTATCCCAATATGGAGATGGAAAATCCACCTGTCCCATCAAAATCTGATCAAAAAGTACTTCTTGATCATCTCCACTTCTGTAAGGTAAAAACCAAAGAAAACCAACAACAAAACCCCCAAAAAATTATTTCCAGAAGTAGTTTCAATTAACTTTTTGAAATTTCTTTTAACTGTTGATCCCTTAGTATGTTTATGGAAGCTGTTGATTCCCCCCAAGCATGCAGCCATGGATGGGTATGAATGGTGAGATCATGAAACACAGTGCGTTTGGTGCACTCTTTCTGTAGTAACCAGCTTGTCTTTTGGATTGTCCACAACTTTGCAATTGCTTTGAGGGGAATAAAAGATCTGATGTGTCCTTATTAAGTGGCTTACATTTTAAATACCTTTTACCAGCCACAAAATATGTTGTGTTTGGTCCATGAAAGAAGATGCTTATTTCATTGTGTATTTAAAACATCAGGCAAAGGCACACAGAACCTGTAACAGAGGCTCTTGTTTCGTAATGCAATGAAGTTTAAACTAAAATAAACAAACATGAGACAGAGATCTTACAGTAAAATCACAGATATTTATGGGGTTTGTACAAAACACTATGCAGAGCACAGGAAAATAAAAAAACAAACCCTGTGAGCAGAGAACTTTTACCACTGGGAATCTCTGTACTTAATGCAAAAGCAGTATAGGGACTAGTTTGCATAATAAGGATGGTAGAATAGGTCAGTCCATACCCACGGAATGGAGGAAATCCACAGAGCAGGATGTAAGTAATCACACCCGCTGCCCAGATGTCCACCTTCAATCCATATCTAGAAGTGTGAGAGACATGGTTAGAGACATCTGACTCCTATGGACTACAGTGCAAAAAGAGAGGAAACATTCAGAATTATTAATAATTTCTTATAAATTCTCATCTGAATTTTACCTACCTACCAATCTTAATTCTGTTTTCAAATATTATTTACATTTACATCTTAAAACTATAATTAGATCAGAATGTGTGAGTGCACAGAAGAAATTGGGCATATTCTCATATTCTTGAGTTAGACAGTGATGCCTATCATCTTTGCAAGTCTGCAAAGGTGACACAGCCTGCTCAAGCCAGCAGGCAGTTACTCTGTGGAACAAATGAGAAGAGGACAGTGTGTGATAATGAAATAAAATTAAGTGAATGGTAGTTAGAAGTTTCTGAGAACAGTTTAAGAATTACTTCTTGTATCTATAAATGGCTAGTTAGTAACTCAGTGTTAAGATGAGAAGTTTGAGGTCAACAACTGGCAGAGATTGACAAATACAGCTCCGCAGCTGGTCTTGTTCTAAGCTGGTTTGGATAAGGCAGCCTCCAGACGTCCCTTCCAACTAAGTTATCCTATAAGTCATGATTCTGCAAAGTAGCCAAGCAAAGGCAGTATAAAAATCTTAATTGCAAGAACTCCTATCTGTCACAACATTGAGAATATGCTCCACTGTGTAAACATCAATGAATCATTACTGGAAGTGATTTACCCAGTTTCAGCGATGATTTCTGGAGCTACATATGTTGGGGTCCCACAAACAGTATATAAAGGTCCATCCACAATTGTTGCTAGGCCAAAGTCCCCTAACTTCAGGGACTTGCTTCCATCTTGGTGTTCATAAACCTAAACCAGGAGGAAAATTGAAAGGTTTATCACAATATCATCAAGGTAACTACCACATAATTTACTAACTGCCTGAAATGTTCCTCCTTATTTACAGTAGTTTTCCTCCTCTTTACATTCAATATATTTCTCTGTAAGCTTTGAAAATTCACAGATAATTTGGACAAATTCCCTTGAAGGCAGTCAGGGTTTTCAGGAAAGACTTATCTCACTACTTGGCCAACAAGGGACATACCACTTGCTAGACACTAAAACCTAGAAACAAATGCATAGCGTTCCAACAGTGGCTTTCCTAGGTTAACTCTCCACTGACAGCCAATTCACAGTGTAGGAGTTTTGAGTTTATTCATTTCACTTGCAGAGAGCTTAAAGGTTTGCAGAGGAACTTCAATTACTTAGGTAATACAAAAGTGACTGCACTGTTCCGGATTCTTCTCTGTGTTGAAATCACAGGACACAAACCTGGCTGGACTATTTCACCTAGACATGCTGTCTTCTCCCTGGATGACTGTTAAACACCAATCAGTGTCTTGCTGTCATGTTGCCGTCATGATCAGTGGGACGTAGGCAGTTAGGGCTGCTAATGGATATACGTGAAAACCCTTAACCTTTAGACCATGTCTTAAAACATGGTCTTTACAGCAGCAGTGTGATCTTTCGTGGGTTTTTATGGGTGCAAAAGGAGATTAGAAGTCACAAGAAAAAACACTAAAAACATCAGTAAAAAATACATGATTTTAAAGGCTAGTTCAGAGCAAAAGAACAGACTTAAACTTGTAATCAGTGAAAACTTTAAAAAAAAAAGTTTCAAATAACACCCCCCAAAAATATATCTAACTTAAACATGAGGCTGTGAGTCTTTCTTCAGCTGATGGTTTGAGTTCTTGCTTCCCATTTTGATATATTTTCTACAACGGCACCTTAAAAATGGAAATGGTCTACAGGAGGCCTTCATTTAGTATAAATGCATCACTTCATTATTTTGCAACCCAAATCAAAGCTCCATATAGTCTGGCTCCCAACAGTGATATCCTAACAACAATTAGCAGCAAAACTGTGCATAAATAGAATATACCATACTTCTCAATCAAAACCAAAATCATCAATACATATCTTGACCAGCTACTCCTAAATCTGAAATCACATTTATCTACAACTGTTTGAAGAAGAAGATACTAGATTTTTTTCTTATAAAAACATAATAAATTCTGCAAGGGACCCTTGAACAGTTCACTTGGTACAAAAACAAATCCTCAAAGTCTCTCACTACTCTTCACTATGGATCTGCTATAGCTCATAATAACTAGTTATATTATACAGCCCCCATCCCCCAGTTTCTCCTTTGTTAATGTTAGTCATTTCTAGAGAGAAAACTCCTGTCTGTCCTGAATCTCTGCTTACCAGGTGATACAGCCACAAGCAGACACTCAGAATACACAAAATTCTTCTCTTTTCATTATGTTATTTTTAAGAATTCAACTGGATCTTTAAGAGGACCAGCAATTTAAAATGGATTCACATTTCTCTTCTACTAAGCCAGAAAAAAAGATATGCTTATAGAAAAGCACTGGGAAAAAAAAAAAAAAAAGGCAATTATGGTTTTATTAAAAACACAGATTGTTAAATACATCTGGTTCCTGAAACTAAAGAAAGTGCTCTCTGAGATGGCAGTAATAAATCTAATTTCAACAACAGTTTTAATTAAAGTCTAGAGACTAGGGCTTTAAATATTCTCTTGCTGAAAATGTAAAGTGTGCACTTAGACATTAAGAGCTGGATTCAGCCTAATTAGCATTCCATATTCTATTTCATGCAGTTATCTTCTACAGGGCCTTTTCTGCATTGTGCTAACCTAGTGAACATTAGTAAGTTTCTTCCTTTGACAGACCACACCTTGTGTGACCGATCTACACTAGAAATTAATTACAGAAGAGGTTTGTTTGGCAATATTTACCAATGCAGAAGGTTTGATACTGTGTATTTTCTAGTATTTTACCTCATCTGTTTCTAGGAATTACCTTCCTTGGAAAACTACTTCACTTGACTTGTAAAACTGAAAAAAGTAACTTTTCCTCACGCCGTTGTAACTCCATATAAAAAGGAGCCCAGTGTGAAGCTGTGGTATGTTACTTGCCAGTCAAGGAATGGGAAAGATAATGTAATGCTCATGTTATTCAGAATAAATGCTATGCATGTGCCACTGCATTTAAATACTGAAGGGCAGTTAAAGAAATGGGGATTAGTGCAAATTGCCCACTATGAAGTGCTTTCACTGTTTTAACTAAGCAATAAAACTGTGTAATTGTACAACACTAATTGAATGCAGCCACACATAATTGTGTTCCACCATATGTATCCTATTAGTATAAATGCTGTCAGTATTTTCTAAGCTGCTCTTGTGATCAGTGCAGATGGCAACAGTCAGAGAAGTTGTTCTCTAGGGTTTATTATATGGCTATAAAGACATCCCATGACTTGACAAAATAAACATGCTAAATAGCAGCAATTATGAAAAATGTTTCAATGAAAACATGGAAGACACTCCTTAGAGAACAAAGAAACCTAAAAAACCTAAAACATCACAGGTATTCAGCATACCCTAAACCCTTAGACAGTTGACTGTTAGGTAGCCTTTTCATGCCTTGAGGATAATATATAAGGATAATAATTAGCTTGAGGATAATATTTAAGCATTTACTAAAAAAATGGGTGTTGCACATAGGACAGGTTCACACAGATGAAGATTTACTAGCAGGATATATAGCCTATAGCACAAATCTAAGCATGGAAGTTACTTTTGTGGAAAAGGAGAAACCAAGGAGAGAAAGGAGAAGGGGAAGGGGAAGGCTCTCCAAGGGGCTGGTAACAGATGAAATAAAGAGGCTCCAGATGAACATCCTCTTCTGGGTGCCCTCTCCAGAGTAGTATGTTTCCCTTCACTCCTCATGTTTTTGCTCAAGTAATTTGCTCATTCTCCGTGTTGTTTTTGCCTGCTAGTGGGGCTGTTAGCCCTGGGACATGCATTGACCAGGGTAGATGCTGTTCCCAACCCCATCTAGTTGCTCTGCTTTGGGCAGGCCTGTTATAGGTTCCCCGAAACCTAAAGCTACAACCTATGGGCAGGAAAAAGGCAGGGGAGAAAGGGCTAATTCTCACACTAGTATCCAGGAGAACCTCTTATAACAACACCACCAGCCCTTTGCACATGCCAGTGCAGTATGACAGTTGCTGTGACAATAACGGAGGGAAAGACATAGCAAAAGAACAACAAGGGAAAAACACTGCCCTGATCACTTAGGTGAGGGGTTAAAAAGCTGCAAGCAAAAGGGCAGGCTACAAAAAGCAAGTAGAAAGCATTTAGCAAAATAAAGGCTAAGACCCCTGTGGCATTTTTCAAGTGCCGTGAAAATAACTAATTGCAATCTTCTGACACAAGGAATCACACATTCCATTTGACAGCTAAGACAGAAGTAGAAAGGTTCAGAGACAACAAGGCCGGTGTCAGAGCTGGGGTCAGAGCTCAGGTAAGCTCAGATAAGGCTAGTTCCAAAGTGCTCTTCTAAAGTTGCATTCTTTTCTTTCAAGGACCTGATAAACATTAGAGAATTAATATAATTTGTTAATCAAATGCTGGCTTTCGAGAATTAGGATGCTTCAGGAGGTTAAACGTCACACCTTCACTGCTCAATATCAGTATCAATGCAGAACACTGGAAAAGTCACTCAGAAACAACTCAGCTACAACGCGAAAAGTGTGATCATGTCTGGTAGTGGTTAATTAGCAGAAAAGCTCTGCAAGCAAATCTAATTCCCTCCCTGCTGCCCCCATCAAAAGCCCACCTTTCTCTCTTCCCCCAGAAGCTTAAGTCTGACAACAATAGACTTTAGGCATTTATAGACAAGTCAAAACACCAGCAGGGCAAGCCTTGCCCCAGACCAAGACCCTCCTGCACACTCCTGGCACAGCATTAATGAATCCTGGTATGTGATTGCTACAACATCTGCATGTAGCCACCTATCAACACCAGCACCAGTGCAGCACAAGGAGCACAAGGGCTGAGAAAAGTGTGTCATTCATAATTGTCTAGTGAAACTTATATCCACTATATTTTCAGCAGTTTCTGGAAAATGAGGGCAGGTTATGTCCTCACCCAGAACTGCAAAAGCACCTGCCACTAGAGGAACTTCAACTGTAAAAATTCCACTCTCTGGAAAATTTGTAAGATCTACTTCACTCAACTTTCTCATAAAACCTCTTCAGTGTCAAACAGGACTAAACGTCATGGCAGAGAGCAAAAAACTGAAAGAACTGATCTTCTATGATTCTATGAACATTATTTCATGGTTGCAGAACATATGGAGAATTGGGACATCTCAATTCTTAGTTACAGCTGGAACATGTCAGCAAACTTGGGAAAACTCAAAACACTGAAATAATCAGGATAAGTTAATTTAATGAGAAGAAATAAACCTATGTGAAGGATACAAGTGCTGCATTCAAGAGTGCAAAATTCTTAGACATAAGACTAATTGTCATGGTACGTTTTCCATTGCCTTCAGTGGATAAGGCTCATGCAAATTCAGTCAGAAAAAGGAAGATTTAGTCTGTCTGTTTGGGAAAGTGGCTTAATAAAAGGTGTTATAGAATTATATGGGAGATGCAGTAGGGGAAGAAAGGATACTGAAGTCTCTTCCTGTCTCTGCTCTGATGTGTGACATGATTAGGGTACAGCATTTACACGCATCATACTTTTAAAACTAAAGTGTTGCCAATTACTTAGGCAGAGGCAAAAGTACAGGATAGTCTGCTGAGGACAGAACACTTTTATATTCATAAGAAACCTGAAATTATCTTGAAGTTTACTAAAAGGTCACTTCTAGTGATCCCAGGAATAACTCTGCTGCTGTGTCCCACAGTCTAGACATACCACCTTATGTTACTGTTAAATATAGCTGTTATTCTTAGAAGAGCTTCACAATGCAAAGGTTAAAATTAAAAAACCAATTACTTAAAACATTGAAATAAACTGGATGGGTGTGTGGAAGGAGGAAGAAGTGCAACCTTCTCACACACACTCCCAAGTTATCAACAATACTGAAAGCTAAATCTTCACTTACCAGTAGATTCTCCGGCTTGATATCCCTGTGGACAATGTTCAGGCTGTGAAGATATTTGATGGCACTGGCCAGATTGTAAAGCATCCCACTGGCATCCCGCTCTGTATATTTGTTGGTGGAAGTGATAGCATCAAAAAGATCTCCTCCCTGGAGCAAAATTACCATGGGATATGAGCAATACTGTTTATGAAATGACCAAAATATTTAGGGAAAATCAAGGAACATAAGTTATATAGGAGGAGAAGAAGGAAGAGGAGGAAGAGAAGGAACAGAAGGAGGAGAAGAGAGAAGCAGCACAGTTTCCCTTGCAGCAATAAATTAGGGGTACTCTTATTACATCCTCCATTATGTCAGCTGAGCAGATCAGTAAGTCAGAACCTTTTGTTATGGCTGAGTTGGTCAGCCAAGAGGCTGGAGTTTCTATTGCCAACTATTCCCACCTGCTGCTGCTTTTGTAACATGTCCAGCACTTGCCAACCTGTGTGTTCAGAGCCCATGTTACAAATTTCTGGCAAGACTACATACTTGCTTGTCATGATGCCATATACCAACCCTTTCCACTCTTTACTATAATCACAAACAGACTGATATCAAATTTTTGCCCAGTGCCTGACTGAACCACAGAAAGATGGAGGAACTCTGAGTAAAACTCAAATTAGCTGTCCTCACTGATATCATCTGTTTTCATCTCATAAATCTTTGAAATAATGGATTTTAGAAACCACCACTTCCTCGACACAAGATGTGAAGTTTTTGGTAGTGTGATGCCTCTTGCAGCTAATACTGAAGAACTTTACAGTATGTCAGGCACTGGAAGACACAGGGGGGTAGCTTGTGCCATTTCCAGCTCATCATGCTGCATAATTCAGCTAAAAGGTACTGCCAGTGAAAGAAAAAACAGAAAACAAGAGAGAAAAAAGGAAAGAAGAAAAGAAAAATAATTAAGCAGAAGTCCTTGAAGTTGAAATGATCTTCACTAGGATCTGAGGCAGCCTTGACCTTTGGACTCTATTTCCAGAGATGAGCTGGCAAGTGGGAAGAAGAGTATGGAAGTTTAAAAATGAGATTAATAAGGAAGCTTGACAGAGTGGAGGAAAACCCAATTATCTTTTGAGAGAGACTACTCAGAGGTATTGAGCCTCTAGCCAAAATCAAAGCAGAACTATAAAGAAAACATAGTCCAACAAAAAGAATAAAAAGGAGGGAAAGCATAATTCTGCAAAAACAATGCAAAAAAAATCTCTTACGCAGTCAAAATTTCAAGTAAAAAAAACCCACAGGAGACTGTATTTTGAAGAACATGTAGGTTCTGAAGGCAACAGAGGAGTCCCAGCTCTTCCAACTCTCATGATTTTATCAACAGCCTCAAGATTGAGGGTTGGGGTTTTTTAAGGCTCAGCTCCAGAGTAAACACTTTTTCTGCTAAGAAAAAGCATAAGGGGTAAAAAAAGAAAAAAAAAAAAAAGAAAAAAAAGGAATTTTTCCAGGAATCATGGCTATAGAGAAAAGGGTAGGAAAAGAGAACCACCAAAGACTCAATCCTGATAAAACAGACTTTACTTGCTATAAAAAAACCCCAAACAAACTATTAAAATTTTTGCACAGTTGAGGTGCAGCTGAAGTATGCCAGGGTAGGTTTATTCCCATTGTAGATGCAAAACCCTACCTCTTTGGAAACTGCTTACAGCCAGCCATTGTCAAATCTGGACCACATCAAACCTCTTGCTCTGGCTGGTGACTGTTCAAGACACTTCAAGATACATAGTGTCAAGGAAAAGGAAGAACAAAAGGCCAAACTAAACCAAATAGAGGATTAGAGAGAGAGAGACCAAATATTTGGCAAAAGTACAATACCATGTACTTCATGGCATTATCTGATCCTGAAGTATTAGATATCAGCATGTGGGAAAGTATGTGAGATAAATAATCTATCTTCCCTAAGCTCCTTCCTGTGAAACCCCTGTACCAGCTGCTTTTTAACATGAGGTAGTGGATTAGACAGATCTTTGGTCTTATCTAATATGTTCCAGATGCTCAGGAGAAGTGTCAATAACATCAGCAAAGCATCTGCCTCAAAAAAAAGACTATAGTCCAAGCTGAGATGTAAGGGGCAAGAAGGAAAGACGCTGAACCTTAAAAAGAGAAGGAAAAATTTTGGTTCGAAGTTAGAAAAAAAGAAACAAATGTTCACGCACAGAAGAAACATAAACTCAGAAAAAGACAGAGGCTGCAAAACAATTTAACAGATGGTCAAGCCAATCTGAAGCAGAATAATTTTCTCCATTTAAGCAGTTTACTGTACTCAGTAAAGTTTCTTACCAGGTAGCCTGCTAAGAACAGAGAGCATATATTTAGTCTGTGGGACTCCCTGTGGTTAAAAGAGAGGTGATATTCTGCAAAGAGTTAACAGAGCTGACAGCTATATCAGGCAGAATTGTTTTCAGACTTTCTTCTCCCTAAAGAGCACTTCAACCTGCAAGGTTCTGCTAAGCCGATTCACACAGCAGGTCACTATCATTTATTCAGGCACAAGGGGTGAGTTCAGGATGACATTTCAGTCTTAAATCCCCTGTTCAGGAGTGAAACGGAACCAGGAACATCTGAATGCAGTTTTTATCATCTGTGCACATGAGGAAGTGTACTTGGAACTATAGTAACCAATTATTTATTTATTACCTTGCTATGTAAATGATATGATCTCTCTTTTTCTTCTGCAAAAGTGAAATCATATCCTGGAGCAGTAAAGGAAAGTTTGCAATAAATCTTGCTTCTTAAATTGGCCAAACCCCTGTAAGGTTTGAATAACAATTTTGTTTCTCTGTGTAAAGAGGCAATGTGCCAGAAACCAGGTCTTTCCTTCCTTTTACAAGCACCACTTGCAATGTGTTTATATTTGTATTTATGAAGTGCTTTTTCTTACACTTTACAAAGCAATGAATGGCCTATCTGCCATGAGGTGAGGGCAGGATTTTCAGCAGCCACTTATGTCAAACATGTTACTGCCAATTAATGCAGGGTGGTATTAACTGAAACCGGGCTCTGCAGTATCAAGCCTTTTCTGCTTGCCTTTCTTTCCTGTCTGTGAGTTTGATTTAAAGTCAGGTCTTCAAAAGTCAGTCAATAACAGATGGTTAATCAATTCTAACAGTGCACACTATGAAACGGTTAACAGCCAGCAATTGGTGAATCAACAATTAATTTTCTTCCAGAAATACCTTCCGTGGTGCCCATAGAGTCTTTTTTTCCCAATCAAATATTGAGGAATAGATGCTTGCTTCAAAGAAACAAAGTTGACTTTCAAGAATCAGGTTATTTCTTCTAAATTTCTTCTATTATTCCACATAAAAGTAAAGAATATTAAAACAGTGCTCTCTAGGATACCAGAAGTACAGAGATGTCTATAAGGCACTTCCACAGCACAGTTAAAAGAATAAATATCTTAGCTTGTGCAGCAATTTTGAAGAGTAAAGAAGAAAGAGCACAAAAAACCAGGTTTTTCCCAAAAATTAATATAATGCATGGTTTTCATTATATACATCTTTTAAACTAGTTATTTTCTAAGAGTTGTCAGTCCCCTCCTCTCTCATTTAGCTGAGTAGGACTTCAATTAAAAATCCATTGGAGACTACAGTTTGCACATTTTTTAGCCATGAATAGCACAGCAGGATGCACCCATAAAACCAGCTATATGCTTACCATCTTGGCAGGTTAGACAAGGCACAGCTTTTTCTTCTTAGCGCACCTCCTGGGGCCAAGATGAAGGATTTGTCAAAGCAGGCTGAAGCTGTGGCTACATTAGATTACAATGCTGTGCAAGAGGATTGAGGTACCTTTGAACAAGCTCTCATGGACACAGAAAAAACTACAGTAGCATGGATCTCATAGGGAGCTCACTTATCATAGAATAGAGCAGTAATTATGATTAGTGTTAGATGGCTAATAGTATCTGACCTCAGGCTGTGCTATTTCACATTTCATGCCTAAGAGTGAGAGAGGGCTGTGATTGTGAAGGAAGTGGGAAAATGATTCTGGAACTGGTTATACAGAGGGATTCATTGTGGGAAAGAGTGTCAGTAATTTTGTTTTTTCTTAGGATTTAACCTCTCCATTAGAAAAAAAACAGGTATGCGCCTTGCCACCAGCATTTCCCACTGTGCTTCCTCAGAGCTTGGAGGTGGTGGACAATAGGGTTAGTGGGACCATAAGGTCCACAGCACCACTCAGCAAAGTGGGCCATCTGTCAGGCTCAAACCTAAGAGGACAATGTTGCCATCTCCTCAGCTGTGGGGCATGGCCTGAGCCTCTCATAGATAACAACTGTCTCAGACTGCCACAAAGACAGGGAAAATCTCTGGCCATCCACCCATGAGCTACACTTGTCAGTCTCCCAGCTCTGGACTGGGAACATGGCTTGTGTCACTGGTGTTGCCACAGAGCATGGGAGATAATGGAACAAACAAAAAAACCTTGCCATTTTACTTGCTCTCGTATTCCAGACCAGAGATTGAGAAGTTCTTTAAGAAATACTTGGACCTGGGATCATTCTATGTAAAATCTCAACGAGGCAACTACATTAAGTCCTTAAGATCCCCTTATCTCCACCTAAAACCAGAGCAAAGGAGATTATAGTCTTGCTTGCCAAAAATTGCTTTGTCTCACGACCTCTGTTGATGCCTGTTTCTAGCCATGGATACAAAGGATACCCACTGAAGAGGACCACACAATTTAAACGGAGTGATCTGTGTGACAGGGTTCAGAGTGCCTGATTTGCTTGTGTTGAGCATGCACACACAACAGATCTGCACACAAATTCTGCTGCTGCACAACTTTATTGTCGTATTTGTTCTTAAACATTTAAAACTGTGGATTTCCCAGGTGTAGGCTGCCCCTGGAGAATGTGCTGATCAGGATACAGAAATGGAGGTGGCTGCTGAAAAGATGTCCTTCCCACAGAATAGTCAAGGAAGGAAGGAGAATTGCAAATCCCACTAGTAAATGGGAAAAACAGGTGTATCCTGTTAAAGTATGCATGGAGGACAAGATATCCTCAGTGGTTTTCTGTTCTAATTTGCACAATTTATGTAAATGTATTTTTACCACCTTTTGTGCACAGGGACATACTTGTGCATTAGGAGAAGCAGAGAAAGCTAAAGTCATATTTGTTGGAATGCACTGTTGACATTGGGGGCGAAAGATGACCTGGTCTGAGCTTCATAATCTGGTTTGAATATATAATTCTACCAGAGAGTGAAATAAATGCATGAGATCTGGAAGTTACTATGAAGAAATAAACAGGGTTCAAAATATAAAATACTGCATTGCAAAATTTACTTTTCAGAATAGAACCATGCTTTAGAGACCAGTCTTTTCTCTTTCATTTCTGCCTTACTTCAGTTTAAATTTAGATTGCTACCAAGGAGGCAAGTCTGACACTGTGTTAATATAAATCAGCAGAGAAAAAAGACATGTAACATTGTTTAGATCTAACATAAATTATATAAACCAAAATTTTTTATCGAAGAATTTTTTATTTTTAAGGCTTGTATTTATGGCTATTTGGACTGGGTGTATTTTCAATTCACCTCAGGGCAGACTATTACTTTTTAAAGAGACGTCTTTTGAGGAAGTGAATAAAACTGGTGATGTCCAGAGTACTGTCCTCAGAGCACTTCCAAATGTGGCTTACAGAAAGTTAGAGAAATATTCGAAATATTCAAAAACTAAAACAAACCAAAACAACAACAACAACAACAAAAATTAAAAAAAAAAAAATCTGAGTGGGTTACACATCTTTCAGTAGGATGGAAGACTGACTTCAGAGACCCCTTCAACTCTGAATTATTCTGTGATCTCACAATTTTTTAGTAAACCTTAGTACCAGTGGAATTTCTCAATATGATTGAAACAATTCCTAAGCAGCTTGTCTCCAAAACACTCACCTTTACAAGTTCCATGACAAGGTACAACTCAGTTGGCATGTCCATCTCCTCAATCAGAAGAACAATATTGGGATGCTTGACTCGTCTTAAAATAGATACTTCATTTTGGATCATGTGTTCCTGCCACACACACACAAAAAATCTTTAATGACTACTGATTGGTGGGAAAAAAATTAACAGTGGAAAAAGCAGAGAGAATGGGACCTGGGTGGATTCTTCAGGGTTTTTGAAAAACCTAACAGATTGTTGCCTCCAGGAATATAGAAGTAACATCTCTAGAAACAATATCAGTCTGGTAACTGAAGAAAAGAGAGTGGAACACAGAAAAAGAAATGGAGAAAAAGACATGTTTCTGATGCAGAGAAAAATTAAATATGGAAGGTTTTAAAATTTTCTCTGATCCAGAATCTTTTGATTTAACAATACGATAGCATCTTCTCAGAGAATCTTTTGTTACAGATTTCAAAAGCTAACAGTCACTTGGTATAAAACTGACATCACTTTGATTAACCTACTCTTCAGACACAGTGAACAGTGTTGTTATAGTTATTTGTATTATTATTCTGTTTTCTATAACATGTGGAATTATGAAAATTAGAAGACATAATTATAGGGTAAAGAGCAAAGAGTCAAACACAACCAACCAATTGGAGAATCAACACATGCATCTGGAAAGTCATACAAAGCCTTTTATACTGATATTCCAAGAGTCTCCAGAGGGCAGGCAAAAGCTTCAAGCAAAAAGATTCTAATAGCTGTCAGGAAGGAAACAAATACCAATAGCTTCCCAAACTGATCTCTTACAAAATATTTCTTGGAAAAAACCCCTTTTTGTCTCATATGTTTTTTTGTACTCACTTTTCCTCTACATTTACTTTTTTTGATTATTTTCAGAGCATATTCTCTACCAGTTGATCTGAGGAAAGATAAAAGAAAAAAATTTTATGTTCAATCACATTGAATATTTTTCTCAGTCAAGTTTATATTTGTCATTTGAGTACAATAAGTCTAGTGAAAACTTCTATTCAAGTATTCTTTTTTTTTTCAAGAAATAACACTTATATTTGATTGGTATTGTGAACTTGAGCCAAAGTTATTGAATATTTGTGCCTAAGAAAAAAAATCAACCTTTTTTTTTCAATAAAGAAATTTCGATGTTTTCAAACCAAAAATCACTTGAATTTTTTTTTATTTTGTAATGGTAATTGTTATTCTGATTTTTCATAAAAATACCATATTGTCCACAGATCCAAATATTTTCAAAACAAAAATATTTGTTTTCTATAATACAAAAAATACAACCCCTCAAAAATACTTAATTACTTTTTACTTAAAATGAAAAGAAGTTACTTGTTTGCACATCTGCACTCATAACTGCTATGATAAAAAGGTCAGTCCTTGGAACATTTTATGTATTCATTAAGTATAAGAGATTTAGCAGAGTTTAAATATGTTGGTGTTTAGGACAGAATGGGAAAGACTCAGCAGACAGCAAGAAATTACAGAGAAATTAGTTCAGGATGAGAACACATTTCCTTTTTAGCACTGTAGTTCTTTTGAAACCTTATATCACATATATGTAGATATCTATTATATAGAATGCTAACATAGAAAAAGTAGCTTGTAGACAAGATAACAGTAGCAAATTCCATTTCTTAATCAAGTTACAAAACCGAAAGATGACTGTAACGATGAAAACAAGAAGATCTGTTCACAAGCCCTAGTTTCAATGTAAGATTAAATGAAGAATGGGTAATATAAGAAAAAGATTCTACTGAAACATTTTCATTTTGTAATAATAATCTAAACAGCTTAAAAAAGTCTATTACAATGCCCTTAAGCATATGTTTGGTTAAAAATTAACAAAAAAATAACCTTTCAAGAACACAGAGTCATTTTTTTATTCTTCATTTCACAAAACACAGTTAAACCAATATATTAAATTGATATATAGTGTGTTAAACAGAGAAATTAATGTGTCTAAAAGTGTGCTCAGTCTGTCAAACAGGACATGCAAAGTGAGTAATAAACTGAAAGCACTGTATCTGGAAAAAACTGGACATTGTCACTGCCAAATTAAACCATGGAGAACTCCTCTGGCAATGATGTACCACTAGTTGTTAATTTAAGGAAAAAGCAAAGAAAACTCCAAAATATTAGTTCTATTTGAGTTCCCAGGTCATCAGAGAGCAAAGATGGCCTTTATTAGGACATCAAGTAAAAAGCTATCCAAAGAAATCACACAGAAAAAATAAGTTTATGACTTGGGAAAAAAAAGCACAACATGTCTGTTCAAGATTTAAGCAAAGAAAAATTTAAAAGGGTGCCCTTTCTGATACTGCTGTTCAGTGGCTACAGTCAGAGCTCAGTGAGGGGACAGGAAGAGTTCTGGACATTATTTCTGGGAATTAGAAGGAGGGGATAGGACAAGAAACACTAGAAATTAAGATATCTGGGATTCAAACTCAGAAAAAATATAGGCTCTTTCAATAGGAGTCCTTTTCAAGCTGCTTGGTTGCCCTAGGAATGCTTCCTTTCTGTCATGAGTAAGGAAATTGATGGTTTTTGTTGGCCATAGGAGACTCCATGCACTCCAAAACATTGGGAAATCTGAGCTAGTGAGGAAATGTCAGAATTTAGAAGTATCTGAAAGTTAAAAATGAACACATATAAAAACACCGCAGGACAAATTGTGCATATGATGGAGCAGATATGTAGCAAGCAGATGACAACTCTGACTGCTCTTTGTTTTGGTAAAAAGAAAATTAAAGCTAAGATAATGCAAATCCTTTCCCCTAAAAAGATGCAGAACCGCAGGCTGTCAGCATGACTGCAACTTACACAATGCCAAAAAATACGCACAGCTATGCCAGAAACTCAACACTGAAACAGGCATCTCACGTCTCACCTATTGCTCACTCCAAAAAATAAAAAGGTAGCGCAAAAAGTAGGCAATGTGCTATAGCTGGACAGAAGTCTGGACCACTGGACTACCACAAGGCACAGAGTTAGATCTCTGGTCCATAAGAGGGCTCGATACCTGGCTCTTCTAAGCTTTTACAAAGTTCACAGCATATTTCCATTGCATGAGAGAAAAAAAATCTTTGTTATTTTTGTGCATGCATTAAATGTAATTTTGTATGTGGGCCTGTGTGCTCACAGATGCTCGGAATGCGATTTAGAAGTTCGCACATGAAAATTTTGAAGATGGTTTTTCGTTTCTGTTTGAACTGTTCACTGGCAGAGGAAAATGCCTGTGAATGGATTGAAGTGCCAGAGTTGCTAACCAGTGCACACAGAACGATCTTGGAGCTACGGAGAAGAAGTATCCACATGACCAGTAAAGTTGTGTAACAAGACCCATTCCTACTTGCTTAACACCTCATGGTGCTATTCCTTTGAAGTCTTTGCACACAGGAATTGTATTTAAGAAGAAAGTGGAAAAGTCCGCTCTCCCAAGTATCACCCCATCAATTCTGGCTCTGCAAATGATGGACATATCAGACTTTGAAGTGAGGTGGTTTCTGCTCAGAAAGACTGCAAAGAATGTTTTTGAAGGGGTTTCACACGCACTGGCTTTAATTTACCCTCTGAGTCTTTAATTCTCCTTCCACACTTGTGATGGTAAGGGTATTCTGATTTAGAAGTGGTAACTAACAGAAATAATTCCACTTTAATTTTCAAGCTCTCCCAAAGTAGGAGCTCTCTGATATAAATGGAACCTATGGAATGGTATAACTCAGAGACCACAAGACAATGTATCTGGGAATACCTGGGTAATCATGATATTTGAGTACATACTCATTAGATATGCTATGCTACCAGATACTTCTGGGACCAGTGGGATAGACAAGAGGACAGAAAATGGTTTTCATTCAAGCTCTCAAAGATATTGTAATCAGTATTATTTGTCAAGACTTATATTTAACTTTGTTCATGTATTTTCTCTCAGCTTGGGAAAGAATTGTAAAATGCACACTAGCAGAGTTGTACTGTCTCAGTACTATTTGTACACTATCTCAGTATTATTTGTCAAGACTTATATTTAACTTATATTTAACTTTGTTCATGTATTTTCTCTCAGCTTGGGAAAGAATTGTAAAATGCACTCTAGCAGAATTGTACTGTCTCTCAGCACAAATAATATTTTCAGTTGAATGACAGTGTGTCAAAACCACAATCTTTCTTTATTTTCATTTGTAATCTGTTTCTCTCAGTTACTATTCACTTTACCTTCAGCTGCCTTTTTCTTTTTTCTTAGTTATGTGTTTTCACCTATCTTTTTCATCAGTCATGCCCCTCCATAGGGTTTTACAGTGCTTTCCTGTTTTCATATTGTTCTGCTTTGCTTGCTTTAGGTTTCCATATTCTCCAGTTTAATGTTCAGACCCTGGGGTTTGATCTGAACAGCTATTGCCCTCTGGATGGCCAGCTCCACTGTGAACTCACTCTGGCAGAGCTCTAAAGGCCTCACCAGAGCTTTGGCCAAATCCCACAAGCACACTGTCAGCTGATACAAAATCCACTCTTCCCCTTTTCCCCAGCAGCTGTCTTCATGGTCTCTGATCTGCCAGACACTTTCAGATGCAGAATGGGACCTGTCTTTTTCCAAGGAGACTAGTTTAAAACCAGTCAAGCTTATTTATCATCATCTACCCTGAGATCTCATTTCACTCTCTAGTGTTGATATCATATTCTTATAGGACAAAGAACAAAGGTACTTTCTTTGTGCCCAAAGGTGAGGTTACAGTCTTCTGTAAGAGTCTGCTCTCTAGGATATGATAAAAGAGGGTAGAAAACTTAACTCATGAAACTTCATTATCAAACCTTGACATGTCTATTGTTCTCTCTTTTGGACACCTCTAGCTCTGGCAGCTTTTTGCTTTTCTGCACTGCTACTATCTAACATAAGCAATCTTACAATCATTTCATATACAGGTGAAATACCTTCTGTCTTTTATATCTCATGTTCTCCTACTTTTAACAATACCACCAAAGGGCACCCACAGTTTTGCTTAGTTCTTGTTCCCTATTTTTTACCCTCTTAAGGTTGGGTATAGCCAGTTCAAACCTGAACAGATTTAGAAATAGACACCTGAACTAGTCAACCTGACATTTTCGGCAACACTGATATTTAAGGGGACTTGTGACTTCTCTAATCTGGAGTAAATGTCTAAAATCAGTGACTGTTCTCACCTCTTAACAGTAAAGTTCATTGAAGAAGTTAGATTTTGGTGTCTGCAGTTGGAAGGATCACATATAATGGCACAAAGCAGGCAAGCAGGAATTAGATGTCCATTTAATTAACAATAAACATGAAAGAGATTACTCCTCAGTGTCAGATGGCAGAATAGATGGATTTGAGGTCAGTTCTTTGTGCTGACCATTGTCACTACACCACACACCAAAACTTCCTGACATCTTTACAGGTTGGTCCTACATGTGAAATGTTCCACTGCTCTAATGCAAAAGGAGACTTGCAAGAACATACTGCAAGTGCAACAAGAAAGATTTAGCGCAGAGAACTGGTAAAATCATGTGGAGTGCAACAAAAAAACTCTAAATATATAAACCTCACAAAGAATTAAATTCATAGATTGCCCCTTGAACTCACTCTTTTTTTTATATGAGAGGACACTAAGTTTTTCCATCTGCCATTGAGACGTTACCTTATTACATGTCGACATTATACAAATAAAGACATGGTCTAGAAAAAGCATGACATTAATGATTATTTTTTGCAGTAATAAGCATATTATCCTCCTCACCTTTCTATACACTCCTTCACAATAGCAAAATTTCCGTCTCCTATAGTCCTTCCAACTTTATATCGCTCTGCTATCGATGCTGGAACCTGGAAACCTTCCTCCAACACTTCTGAAAGAATCATTAGTACATTTTTATTGTTAGTGAAGGAAACACAGATGTTGCACATAACATGTATTTCAAGTCCATGGTTTAGGAGCCTGGAAACCATTCAGTCAGTATCTCACTTACTGTACAGTGAAACCATGCTGCTGACATTGTATATACTCAACAGGTTTCACGCAGATACAATAATGAAAAATAAGACTTCTGGGGGCTCAAACATACCACCATTTGAGTATTACATAGTTTACCATTCCCATTGCAATATGCCCCCAAGACAAAACCGAAGTTGTATTTTTTTAATTATGAAAAGGCCTTTGTGATCTGCACAAGCGCAGACCAACCTCCAAAAAGGGCTGGAACTCCTTGACACAGCATGATTAAATATATGTACCAAAGCAGTCCAACACTCAAGCACTTATTTTATTACATCCTGTAAACTGAGACATCCATAAAACTCCTCATGTGCTAAGTGCTAGTTCTCCCCATCCCCCAATATTAAATATTTAGTTTTTAAACAAATGTTCTCAATAATACTACCTCGCATGCAACCTGGGTACCAGATGTTTAGGTAAAATTGCATTACACAGTGTCTAAGCATACAAATAGTTTGTAGTTTAACGTGTTTTAGTGCTCATTCCTGTACCATTATTTTTAAAGGTATTTGAAATAGTGTTACAAATACCTAACATGCTTCTAAAAGCTGACCGTAAACTACAGCTGGTACAAACCACTATATAAATACTGTAACATAAAAAAAATGCCTCTCAGAAATGTGATCTGTGTTTACGCTCTTTAAGACAGTGCTTTTAACTGTATTTTTTGCTGTCCTTTGTTCCAGTTTGGAATTAAAAGTCAGTGTTATGACACAAAGAGTCTAGGGTTTGCCTGAACTTACAGACATGAAGAGCTATTCTGAAACAGGAATACACATACATACTTGTCTGTATATGTGCACAGTGTTCAAACAGACACTTTCCCTTAGACAACTTGTTCAAAGCTTTAATATACAGTAAGACTATCTATTTCTGAGTAAAGATCTAGGACTGCAGTGTGTTCTTTAGTAGCAGGACATGAGAAAAAAATACTGGAATAAGCCAGCCAGCACTGTGTTGCTTGCAGAAATAATACCTCTAGTATTCTGAAATAAAAATACCTCTGAAGAGTGATGTCCAGATCGAATCTGATCCAGAGTGAACCTAAGTGGTTTGCTATGGCTGAGAAGCCTCCTCAAGGAAAGTCATCCAGCCTGCAATGCTCCCACCTTCTCCGACAGGAAGAATGACTCATTTCCTACACAGCTGCTGTTATCACTACACTGACTGCTTTGAAATGTCAGCCTCCAAATGTTACCTTCTGCAGGTCCATCATTTTCATCCATAGAGCTGCAAACTTTGGTGGATGCTAATGAGGTAGAGGAGCCACTGTGTTGGGAGCTCTGGAAATGGAGACACAAATGAAAACAGATGATTTTTAAGAAACACGAGTACCCCCAGCACGTTCCTGCTGGACACATGTCCTGGAGAGGCTTCAGTGTTCCCAATGTAAAGCATCAATTTACTTTGGTGGAGGAATATGGAGATGCTTGGGAAGAATCAAATTTTTCCTCCAAAATGACACTTTTGGTCCCCCACGTACAAGGAGATATCCCTGATACATCATGTGCAGCAGTGTACTTTGATGTATGCCCCATTAGTCTCTCCCTATTCCAAATACATTTCGGCAGGGAAAACGGAGGAGCTGTATGCCCTCTGCAGGCAGGAGACCGTGTTCTCAGAGGCCCTGTTAACCCAGCAGGCACTAGAGGCAAAAAAATCCATAGTTTGCTTTGTTATGGGCAGAATTCCTCACTTTCACAAACCTCCCTCTGGAGAAATCCTCTCCATTTGTGTTCTAGAAGGGAGAAATCATTATGGTAATGTATGGTGAAAATAAAATGTCAGGGTGAATAATGCTTGGTCTTTTGTAAAAGCATTTGACTGGGTGTGGTTCACTTCAGACATGATTCTGTACTTCAGTTTTAAGTACTTGAAATGCAAGTGTCTGAGTTTGTGAAGGAGACTCGTAGGCACCCACCTTGGATACCAGAAGTATTGGAGGCAGAATCTCATCAGGGAAGCTTTCCAAAACACCTATCAATGTCTATCAGTTAACTACAGACTCTAGGCATGTACTTTAGGAAAACTGTTTCACCAGGCATCTATATGGATGACTACAAAGACATATGGGATGGACTGAATTTCACTCAGAAATTTTATTCTGTGGTGCGTAACAATTATACTAACACACCTTCAGGATTCTCCCATCTTCAAAAGAAATCAGAAGAAGCTACAAATGTAACAGTGGCCCTTCAAACTTACAGCCAAACCGAACATTTCCTCAGGTCCTCATGTTGCAGCATAAGGTAAAAATATTCACAAGATTTTCAAAACTGTTTTTGCATTCACATCATTCACATGCTGAAAGGTTACAAAGTGCTGCAGTATTTCATTTTTTCCTTCAATTTATATATTATATAAATTGCAGGCTGTACTGCATGTAACTAACACTATCACTTCCTTATCAGTGTTTGCAAGGTTTTTAGGTGCCCACAATCAGGGTGCCAATCCACTTTTGCAAATTAAATACAGCTACTCAGGAATGGTTTTTCTCGTTTGCCACTGCAGAACACAGCAGATGACTGGAGCAAGAGCAACAAAAGGTGCAGCACTTGGGATCTTTGCCGAGTACAGAGCCAGGGAGAGGACAGTCAGCAGACTTAAAAGCTGGCCAATACGCTGAGTTAATTTGAAGAGAATAACTTCTCATGTGTCCCACAATAGATTAAGTTCAGATGATTAGACAAAGCCTGAACTTGGCCTATTTTTCACTAAATAATCCTGAGAGCTTGCACATCCCATCTACCAAGAGATTCTTTGCCCTTTTTTCCTTTTAATCAACCCCAGCTCACTATTTTCATCCAGCCAAGCATTTCTTCTGAGCTTTGACCAGAACTGAAAAATGCCTTAATCAGGTTTTGGACTGCCTCTTGACAGCAGAAGTGAGCACTGACTGATTTTATGCAGTTTGCTAAGATATTGCTGCCCTTGTTTAATAGTTAGGATGTGTTTATGTATGTGCTATTCCTGTGCTAAACTCTGCAGGACGTCTCAGTAAAAACTTACCTCTGGTTCATTTTGGAACAAATGAGCAGATGTGGATGAAGGTAACGGAAAAATGCTAGGAGTTCTCATGTCTGCAGAAGTCACTCTCAAACACTATTTTTATACACATGTAATGGGAGAATAGTTTCTTTTACAGTCCTGCTTGTAAAATAAGCATAAAAACATGTTTTCTCTACTCATTCGACTGTGTTTGTTTGTTTTCCTAGACCAGGCATCCAATTTCATCTTATTTTATCACTCCACAGTATTTTCTTAAAGGAATTACCATTGAATCAGATTTAATATTTGTTACTTCTGCAATCAGGAATTAATCATTACAGCATTTCAGGGGTAAAAACACAAAAAGATTAGTGCTAGATTTTCAGAAGATTATTAAACAGCTACTTTTAAAATTTTTTGCATTTTAAAGAGTGAGACTGCACTTCTCAGTATATGTTAGGTCAAAGCTGCTGACTGCACACCACTGCAGCTTTCTTTAGCAGCCTGATAGTCTCTTTAGTCTGATAGTCTTGCACCCTTTGCTTTCATCTGTGAGTATGGGAGATGGGAAAATCAAGACGTAACTTGGCGGTCCCATCTCTTCAGAATGTGTGCCTAGAGAGACTCAAATTTCTACTTGAGGACCTAATTTTTCAAGGGCCTTAAAACAAGGTTTAGCTGAGAACTGAAACTGCTCAGTCCTTCCAAAAACAGACACCATCAAGGGTGCATTTTAACAAAGTGCTTTAACAAGGGCTTCAGTTTAAATACAAATAATCTCAATGGTCTACACATGACTGAAATTAAATTTACTCTTACGTATAACTCCTTAAATATGTATTTTACCTAGCTTTCATCTAACAAACTGAAAAAAAGTGGTCCATAAAAAATTGAAAGGAAATAAATAACTAAAAAAAAGATCTCATACTCATGCTTTAAGTGGCCCTATTTCTTTTCTTATTGACCCTTTATGAGGATGGGAAGGCTAAGATGCTATTAGTTAACTGAAGAAGAACTGAAGCAATGCATCAGTAGCATATACCACATCACTGGTCTGCAAAAAAAGCATACAGCCCCTTTAGTGTCATCTGCCTGTGAAGCACTGGCATGGGAGCAGAGGCAGAACTTGCCAGTGACAAGGAAGCAGCAGCTAAGAAGATATGTTAAAAATACACACCAAGATTTTTTAAACTTTAAATAATAATTGAAAAATATATAAAACCATACTTTTTATTACCTGAACCCCTCCTATTAAAACAACAGATTAGAAAGAAATCAGGAACTGGACATACATTCACCAAGTCTGCTGGCGGGCCCTCTTTCACAATTAAAGAGACGTTACTAGATAAACATGACACAAATATTTCTGTCTTTATTCAGTCCTCTGGAACAACATGCAGGCATTTATTTATTTATCTTTACTTCAGCTAGAAGGGCATTCCATTTATTTAGACTTTAATTAGCTCATTGTTCTCACAAGCTGAAAGCCCTCCGGGTCCAGCAATCCTTGTGGGTCTCAGTGTTCCTTCCAGTTGGCTTGCCAATCGCGAGGCAGTCTGTCGTGTGCGCTGTTGCTCTCACAGATGTGGACCCCATCAGGGATATTGCAGATGGGGAGGGGGGAAAAACAAACCCTAAGCAAGAGTATAATCTCTTCAACACACAGACTTTAATGTAATTAGCCCTTTTAATTTTAAGAGATGCTGAGGTGCTTGGAATGTCATCACTTTTACACAGATTTAAAAGGGTCCAGTTGCACAGGTTGCCAGCATATGGCCATTTTTATGGCACACCTTCATAAAAGAAATGGCATAAAAAAATCAGGTCTTTGGTGTAAGGATTTCAGATCCTATTCAGGTTTATATAACAGATGGTCAGCACACCACACATCTCATTGATGTGAATCGAGACATTAGTGCTATAGAGTTTCATCCATGTCTCCCTGGGAGATTTATTTAGCAACTGTTTGGTAAATAGTTTGTATCTCAGTGGAAATTCTGCTAAATCCATGAAAAAAAAGGCAGTAAAATAAAAACTACTGTAATTTCTCTCTCCAAATACTCACCTTTGTCTTAAATCAATCTTAAAATCCCACTCCAACTAAACAGCGGGAATTATTCTTGTGGACTACTAGTGTCAACACTTATGAAAAGAGACTTAAACAAGTATGAATAGAAAGTTTGTTAATGCAAATCAGATTCCTGATTCTCAAACACTGCATTCTATTTTCTAAACCTCTCAAAACCTTTATTAGCGCATATGGAACCTACAAAGTCTCTCAACAATAGATTCCTTTGTATTTTTCTAATGTGAAGGAAGCATCTGGATGAAATATGAATAACAGAAAAGCACACAGGTGTAAAGCTAATTTTGGATCTCATGCAGAGTTTGCTCTTTTAGAAATGGGCTTAATGAAGTGAGGATTAAAATCAGTAAACAAAGTCTAAATTCAGAAAGTAGGATAAGGAAAGTATTAATGTCATTAAATTATGCCTCCTAAGATCGTCCCTATTCCAAAGAATTCTACAGAATCAAAAAAAAAAAACATACAAAAAGATATGTATGTCAGCCAGTAATATGTGTAAGACTAACTTCAACTCAGTAGGGAAAAATAGCATTAAAAGCAAAACTAAGCAGTTAAGCAACCATGCTCACCTCTTTTGGAGCCAATACTAGTGTTCAGTCTGGTTATAAAAACCCTTTGCAAGGTAGCTGTCATGAACTCCTGACACAGTCAGTTCTTTTGACTAAAGATGACCACAGCTAATGGTAAAATAAAGACAACAGTCCAGTGCAAGTATTAGCTTTGAAAGACTTTGAAGGGATCAAAAAATTCCTGTAAGACGTAACAGCATTAAGCAAGAAAAAAGTCAGTCAATAAACAGCAAAATGGCACATCACCAGGGACCAAAAGGAGAGGACAGTTGATTTAAAACAATCAAATAATAAATTTGATGTAACTTTTAAGAAGATAAACTGCGTTTTTTTATTATTCAATTTAGAGACAAGCAAAGAGTTACACTGAAATTCCCGCTCCCAACTGTATCCAGCGAAAATGTTTTCCATTTTCTTTTGTTTAACCTTACATTTTTTTTGCCCAGTCAGATGAGACAGGGGAAAAAAACTTTCATGTAAACAGTACAGAATTGGAAAAAAATTACTTTATGGAGAAACATCCAATCCACAATCTTCAGGCTGAAAGAATGGAAACCAATGGAGTTCAACATATAGAAAGAAAATGATGCAATTGTTTTCTTTTCAAATTTGGACACTGCACTAAACTGGTACATCAGAT